TTAATTTATATAATGTTCATTGACAGTCAACAAAGATTAGCTCCTCCTTCAAGACTCTACATTGCTGAGTAATTGTAAATTATATATATAAATTAATACGATTCTATAAAATTGGCATAGTTTTATAATAGGTGGTGCGTACACATTAGAAGAAAAAAAAAAACACTATCATCTATCTTTTTCAATTGGAAAAAAGACAAAGAGATGTAATAATTAATGGGTGAATAGTGAAATAATAAACTGTCGACGGAGCATGTCAGTGACAAATTGACAGTAGCCAAGTGATCTGGCACTGGCAGTAGCTGTTATTAGGACTCCATCTTCATCTTTTCATTAATTAATGACTACAAGAAATAACAAAATACACAGACGCACGCACAAACACATTGGTCTCTCATTTTTAAAAGCTATATCGAACAAATTTGACAAATATAAATATAAATATAAATATAAAAAGCTAATCTTGGAATTTACATGAGTTGGTGAAAATTATATACAATGGGAAGGGAAATTGGTAGCACCTATATGTTCGTCGATAGGTCAACAATTCTACAACCATTTTCAACGACAGAAATTGACAGGACCTTATTTATTGTGAGCAAAGATAAAATATATAACAGAACGAAATTTTGCAATCACGACAAATAATATAATCCACTCATTCAGGCTATGTCGACATTGGCAAAAACACAAATAAAAGTATAATATATATATTCAAAATGCGGCTCACGTTCAATTTCTCAGTGGGTATTTCTATTTTCTTTCGATTTTTATTAAATAACATTGACTCGTTTACGGCTTAATTTATTATTATTAGCCAAAAAATGAGCTGTAGTCTAAAAATTATAAGATCCAGTTTATAACTTGTTTTTGTTTCTTGAAAATTTTGCAAAGAAGGAAAATCGAAATGTGCAAATGGCAGCAAAATTTACGTTTGGTGTCGGGTGGGTTAAGAAGAAGAAAAAGTGCATGAGCTGTGCGTAGCAGTAAAGAGCCATGACCACCCATATAGCATCGTGGTCGCAGTCGAGACTCAAGACAACCCGTACGTAATTTGGACCAGTAGTTGGACTTTTTAGCTCTCCAAGGGTTAAAATCATTTTCACTTTTCCCCTTTTAAATTATTATGTCTTTTTGGGCTTAATAAATTTCTTAGAAAAAAATATAATCTTGTTTCTTTATTTTTCCAAAAATTATTAATGAATAAACAGAGTACTTTGTCCCTATTTTTATACCATTATACATTATTATCTTTCTATAAAAAAAATTCAACTTTTATCACCATTTAGCAAGTTTATGAGTATATTGTTTTTTTTTTTTTTTTTTTTTTTAATTCACATAGCTTATTAATGGGTCGGGCCATTTCATACTCTGTATAAGGCCCATGTGCATATAGTATTGCCGTATACAGTTAGATTCGGAATGCTAAAAGTGGCTGGCCCATCAATCAAAAGCCCAAAAATGTTTCTATACATAATTAACTTGGGTCCAAAGTAGGCACAGTTGAGTTGGAATGCTGCAATTTAAGAGTTGGGCCTCTTTTGTGAGCATAAAAACTAATGTTTGTAAGCTTAGAGAGGACAATATTTGTAAAAGAAAGAAGAAAAATATGTAAGAAAGGAATTTTTGTTTTTAACAAATATTTTATAATTAACCCAGACATAAATGTCACCTATTAATGCTAAAATCTCTTTCTCAATAATTAAAAAAAAAAAAAAATGAAAATTCGTCTCAAGGTAAGGTCTAGACAAATAAACAAAACAAAAACCATAAAATTGACAATTAAAGTATAGTTTAAATATATATAAGTTGCAAGGATTTGAAATTCTTATTGACAAATAAAGTCTTTATCCAATAGTCGTGGGTTTTAGGTTTACAGGTTTGTCCATAACGCACAAAGCCAAGTAACTTCGACAGTTGCTAAGTTATTATTTATCATTTTGTCGGTTAATTAAATGGTTATGGTTATGGCTATTGCTTGTATGAGGAAAGATATTGTCTTATCGATTGAGAACTAAAAACAGAGCGGAAGTGATTGTGTGTCTAAGGAAAAGGAACAGGCAAGTCTTGTCAAAATTAGTACATTCATTATTTTAATATAGCGTTAACTATTTGAACAACTTTTTAAGAAACGCTAAAAAATGAACTATATATGGATTAATTTTTTATAAAACGCTTATCTTAATCTCTAAAAACTAATTTAAACGTTATGTTACAATTCACAATATATTTTTTTTTGAAGGTTTTAATTGAGTTTTATAGTTTTAGGTTCCAGTTCACAATATTTCATTAGTTTTGGAATATGTAAGTCTTTTCCGTTATGTAATTCTATAGAATATAATAATTTTGCTTTATACAAGTGTAAGTCAAATTATAAATATTGTAAGCTAGTTAAAGTCAAGATAGTAACCAATAATCACATTTAAATTTTAAAATTCTATAACACATCATAGACAAAGGGAAGAAGTCGAAAATTGGAAGAGGAGCATCTCTTTGTAACTATCCTTAAGAGTATTTAAAGAGTAACCTAAAACTTTTTTATTTGTCCAAATTAAGTTGGGGAAGTAAATAGCCCTAAACATCTCCATCTCAATGATCAACAACTAGAAAACAAGTATTACCACGTAATTAAGCAAATAATTAAAACTAATGAAACAAGTTGTGAACATAACAAAGTGGCGCATCATCATCGGCCCACGTTTATTTATTTATTTTTGTTGTTTTATAGATATATAATGGGTTTTGGACCCTCCACTAATTACTTTATTTAATTCTTCATCACATCAAATTAAATTAAGGAAGGTGTGTGTTTGCTTCTTTGTGGGAAAACCCTAATTTTGTCTGCCATATATTTAGACAATTATTATATATTGCGACTCATTGATTGATTTATTGTGGGAATCAACAGAGCCAAGAAGAGACATGAGCAATTACAAGGGTCTTGATTTCTCAGTACAAGTACTTCTTCTCCATTACCAAAACAAACATGACTAATTTGAATGGAGGCACTTAAGGCAAGTGGGTCACCAGAAATATCCCTTTTAATTATTTTTTCAAGCATTCTAACTAAAACTTATTAAGTTTAAAACTCACTCGTTAATTATATTAGTCCTTCAGTTTTTTTTTTTTTTGAAAAGAATATTAGTCCTTCAGTTGATATAATATTTTACCTTTCACATCTCGTATTAAATCTTCTCTCTAAAAAAAAAAAAAAAAAAAAAAAAAAAAAATGAAGATAAGCATAAGAAAGATTGACTATCTATGGTAGGTTATATACGTATAGAGTGGCCCTCTTGATGGCACTTTTTCTTTCTATCAAGGCAATTACAAATGACAATGATGAAGGTTCATAATTTCAGGTGAAAAAAATAATGTCAAAGGGGGAGATTTCTGTTTGCCACTTAGGAACATTTTGAAGTTTTATAAGTTTTGACATGAAAATGGAAGTTCTGTGGCAAACACATGGACCCCTTATATTGCAATGCTCAGCAAATCAAACCATTTCTCTTATTATAGTAAATAGTTTTTGCTGAGACTTCAACACTCACCCACTTTCCCAAAGGGGTATGGACTAAGAAAATTAAAAATTGTCCATTAGGGTTTTTGAAGATTATAATTAATGGTGCGTTTTAATTAGTTCTTCCAAAACATCATTGCAGATTAGGAAATTAAAATTTTAAAAATTTTCAGCTCCACCATTTGGATGGTCAAACATTCCATCATTATATCTCTCTTGTCCTAGCTAGTATATGTACTGAATTTGGACTTACAATTATCCTTTTTATTTTCCTTAGTCTAATAATTTATTATTTCATTTCAATTGTTGATTAGACTCAGCTGTCAAATTTCTGTTCTGTTGTCGTTTTCATAATTTTTCAGTTTCATCAAGTTTGGGGATCAATAATACGAATTGACGAGATCCTACTATGTACGTAAAGTATCAATATGTTCTTTTCTTTATGTAAGATTCTTCTATTAATTTGATGTAGAAGCAGAATTACTTCCAAGTTGGGTTGCTTTAATATTAAGAAATTGTGTGAAATGGAGAAGAAGATGAAGAAAGAAAGAAAAAAGGTAGTCAAATGGATGATGTAATTGGAATATTCAAAACATGTTGCATCAGATTGCAATCAACTGACAATTTGCTGCAAGTTGGATGAATTCCTAGCAATGATACCCATTTAGACTTCCCTCAATAGAAGGATATATGTAATATGCATGTCATGCTATCTTCAAGAAGATGACCCCTTAGATCAATATCAATGAAATCTTGATCAGCACCTATATTAATGGAACCTGGAGACAGATAGCTCTAATATTTGATTTCTAAGAAGTCAATTATTGATTAATAAGAAATTAAGAACTATAAATGCAAAGACTTTTTAAGTAGAATTAGGTATGCAATATGAGAATGACAGAGTTTGCATCCTATGATGAGTGATTATTAGACTAATTATAAAGGTTTAATTGTGTGAGGCTAGAGATGATCCTTGACCAAAATATGGACGTAGTCTATAGTTAAATCCAGTAAACGAGATTCTTTAACAGCGCTCTATAGAATTATTTATGTTTTTTATAAGTCAATGAGGAATAATAATTTTCTTAATTTAGTAAGAAAAAAAAAAAAGAGGGCAGTGAGGGAAGATTACCCTACAATATTGAGTAAGGCATCGGTAATTGTAACTCTATTCTGGTCTTGGTTAATTAGCTCCCCATTAATATCATGAGATTTTTCTTTTTTTTTTTTTCATGAATATATTTAAAAAAGATGAAGGTTTTGTTCGCAACAACGTTTAATGTAGCTTTTAGTATTTTGATATAATTAAAACACCATCTCTATTATTTATAGTATTTTGTGATATATCAATTTTACTAATGTTTACAGTTTATTGAGGAAGAGTATGATTACTCCTTTTAATATTAGATGAATGCTACTAAGACAATTAATTGCTAAACATCTAACTTTACCGAGTAAAGCTGAAGGTTATTTCTACCGCGTAGCCAAAACCTCTACACAGATGACTAGTAATATTATCAGAAATTATCTAAACAAAATGTCATGATGAGAAGAAAGCTATGTCCTCTCTTATAGCTAATTTCCAATTACAACATTGCAGCAAGAAACTATTCTTACACATTCAATTGACAAATATAGCAAACCGTATATTTATATAATTATGATGAGGCACATTTACTTGGGCTAGGCACTATAGCCATAAGCATCCTCAATCAATCAGTCTAGTTTCCTATGATGTGTAACGACAAAAGAAAATGGAGATTTCAAGTAATCAGAATATACCTTGTAAGCTGTGGCCTTCAGTAGTTGGTTTATGAATTTAAGCACCCAAATGTCATGTTAAAGATCTCCAGTGTATGATAAGTGCCTACCAAAATCAACTGACAGGAATTTCAGAACTATATTAAGAAACGAAAAAAAAAATGATTAATAACAAGTTTTGAAAAGGATGTATTTTGTTTCTGTTTTATGTGTGTTCTTTCAAAAATTACATATGTACAATTGATATCATTTTGCTTAATATGAATCTCCCAATACAGGATGATTTGTCTTTGTAAGCATCCATACATGCCGCTAAATAATAAGTTGAGAAAAAAGGTAAAAAAGATAAATTAATAGCAAGCCATGTCTTGTAGTGTGAAGGAATCCACCAATCAAGATTCCAACATGTAACCCTCAAACCACCTCTCTATAAATAAGTAATTCTCAAACTTGGCTTGATACACCAAAAAAAAAGAAAAAAAGAAAAAAAATAGTTTGCTTAATTAATTAGTATTGCTGCAATAAGATCCTATAGGATTAATCTACCTCTAATCCCTAAGTCTATAATAGTTATGCTCATGGCTTCCTTAGCATTTTCCGCCAAGGGGCAGTGCATTTCAGTGTCAAAAATGGTGGTTTCTGATAAGAATAAGCATAAAAGAGAAGGCTTGTTTAATATAAATAAGGTTATTTTTGCGGCAAAACGTGACAATACTAGAGGCACTATTGTTACAAATGTTGCTAGCCAATTACCAGCAATAATTCCATCGCCGGTGATAGATGTTGCTACTGACCAGAATCATGTCGCTTGGACAAGTGTCCGGCAAGAAAGATGGGAAGGAGAGCTTGTTGTACAAGGAGAAATTCCTTTATGGCTGGTATGTGTACTTCTCCTTTTTTTTTTTTTTTTTTTTTTTTAAGGATGAAAATTCCTTGTATGGCTGGTATGTTGTACTTCTCCTTTTTTTTTTTTTTTTTTTTTTTTTTTTTTTTTTTTTGCCTTGGAAACTAATTATTAATACTATTTTTTTTCCAGCAAGGATAATACATGGCGTACTAAATATAAAAACTTAATTTTTAACCACAAATCTATACTTATATATAACACAAACCCTAGATGGGAAGTATTTTTTTTTTTTTAATATAAATTCTAAATATTTAACTGAGTTCAGAAATTAAACATTTCTTCTTCTTTTTTATGTTATGAAATAACGCCCAATTTATTACAGTTTATTTCTATGTTTGAGTTTATGAAATTAAAAGAAATTTTTAGTTTATTTAGCATAACAAAAATTACGTATAAGCATGTTCTTAAATGTGACATCTGTAGAAGGAATTGGATTACTAATTTATCAAGATGAAAGCCATAGTTGAAATTAATATTAACTTTTCTATTTCATAATACTGATTATATAGTGTTATTAATATTTTATATAGTGTTAATTAATATTTTAAGTATAATAATATATATAATATATATATATATATATATATTATATATTTAGAAATAATTTAATATTGTGTTGTATATTCTTATTATTTGTTCTCGTTCTTGTTGTTGATGAAATAACTCGTACACCTTGACAACCCTGAAACTAAAATGGTATCAAGGCTTGTAATCCTAGCTAGGAGTTAATTATTATTAATTAAATCTTTCAATATTTATATTGTGTTGTATTCTTATTATTGTTCTCGTTCTTGTTGTTGATGATTAACTCGTACACCTTGACAACCCTGAAACTAAAAATGGTATCAAGGCTTGTAATCCTAGCTAGGAGTTAATTATTAATTAATTAATCTTTCAATTTTAATTTTTAATTTTTAATTTTTATTCTGTGCGCTAAAAGATCTGGCTGAAATTCAGAAGGAAACATCAAGTGCTAAGAAAAACCAACTATGGACATGAGACATGTATGGTCCTATTTTTTAAATACACATGTATGCCAATTATATATATATTTAAAGGTTCAAATTAGTTGTTTAAACTAATAAATCACATATAATAATAATAATAATAATTCTAAAACAAGGGGAGATAGCTAAGCAATATTCCTTATTTGCCAGATAATAAATACTAAATTAATTATAGACTACATGTCATCATATAAACATATCAAAATTCCCTGTAAAGATCCACTCAAATTTCAGCACCCACGTGGATTTAAATATATTTTATTTTATTTTGTTAATTCCATCTATATCTTTTCTTTTTTTATGAAAAAAAAAATATTAATGTCAATTAATCCTTGACTTATAATTACTAATTTGACCATTTGTTGATTAAATTACATGCAGAAAGGGACGTACCTTAGAAACGGCCCTGGCCTCTGGCACATAGGAGATTACAAATTCCGGCACCTTTTTGACGGTTACGCCACATTAGTCAAACTCCACTTCGAAAACGGCCGATTAATGGCCGGTCACCGGCAAGTTGAATCGGAAGCCTACAAGGCGGCAAAAAAGAACAAAAAGTTATGCTACCGCGAATTCTCCGAAGCACCAAAGCCCGATAACTTCTTAGCCTATATCGGAGATCTCGCTAACCTCTTTTCTGGTGCTTCTTTAACCGATAATGCTAATACCGGCGTAGTGAAGCTCGGCGATGGCCGTGTTGTTTGTTTAACTGAAACACAAAAAGGATCAATTATAATCGATCCGGATACCTTGGATACGATAGGGAAATTTGAGTTTACCGATTCGCTAGGAGGTTTAATACATTCGGCTCATCCGATAGTGACCGATACGGAATTTTTGACTTTGTTGCCCGATTTGATAAGACCGGGTTACTTGGTGGTGAGGATGGCGCCTGGTAGTAATGAAAGGAAAGTGATCGGAAGAGTGGATTGCCGGGGCGGACCGGCGCCTGGATGGGTACATTCTTTTCCGGTGACCGAACATTATGTTATAGTGCCAGAAATGCCATTGAGATATTGTGCAGCGAATTTGTTAAAAGCTGAGCCCACGCCGCTTTATAAATTTGAGTGGCATCCTGACTCTAAAGCCTTTATGCACGTTATGTGCAAAGCTAGTGGTAAAATTGTAAGTTCATTTTCCTTTCTCTTTTCTAATATTATGTCCTGAAATTCAAGATAATTTCAATTTTTAAAAACTTTATTTATTTATTTATTTATTTATTTCAGTCTTCTACTACTATTATCATGTACTCTTTCTGAATTCTGGATTTTGGATTTTGTATACGATACTAATCTCATTTCAGTAGATGTAAATGTTCTGAAAATATAATATTAGTTTAGAGGATAATGTATTGTGAAATTTTTTTAAGGTGGCAAGCGTAGAGGTGCCATTGTACGTGACATTCCATTTCATAAATGCATATGAGGAGAAAGATGAAGATGGAAGAGTTAAAGCAGTGATAGCTGATTGTTGTGAACATAGCGCAGACACCACCATTTTAGAGAAGCTTAGGCTACAAAATCTTCGCTCTTTCGGGGGCGTAGACGTGCTGCCTGATGCTAGGTGATTTACTTATTCATTTCATTTCTCACATTAATTAATAATTCAATTTCTTTATCTATTTCTATACAGTGAGTTTTTAATTGCAATAAGGATTAAATGAGTGATTATCATCATGTCCGTATATACAAAAAATCAGGGTTGGGAGATTTACAATTCCTCTGGATGGGAGTCCATATGGGAAGTTGGAGGCAGCATTGGACCCAGATGAGCATGGAAGAGGCATGGACATGTGCAGCTTTAACCCTTCATTTTTGGGCAAAAAATACAGATATGCTTATGCTTGTGGAGCCCAACGTCCCTGCAACTTCCCCAACACTCTCACCAAGGTATATACATATACATATATGCACTTCCCTTTTGAATTTTGTTAATAGGTCATTAATTAATTATTGACTTAGTTAATTTTTATTAATTACAGATCGATTTAGTCAAGAAAAAGGCAAAGAATTGGCATGATGAAGGTGCTGTGCCTTCTGAACCTCTTTTTGTGACCAGGCCTGGTGCTACAGAAGAAGATGATGGTGAGTTATTAATTAAATAATTAATATACCTATTGTTTTAATTTGCCATGTTCTATTAATAATAATCGATTAATCATTAATTATCCATTGCAGGTGTAGTAATCTCTATTATTAGTGAGAAAAATGGAGATGGGTATGCTCTGTTATTAGATGGATCCACATTTGAAGAGATTGCAAGAGCCAAGTTTCCTTATGGTCTACCTTATGGGTTACATGGATGTTGGGTGCCAAAGAAATGATTTCTATATATACATACACATGATTAACAGTTTGATGATTATTTATATGCCTAATTAAGGAGTTCATATATATATTATCCATCCATCAATATCAATTATTGGTGTTTAATTACGTTTCTCTCCGGTGATATGCTTAATTAGGGTTTCCCTTTCTGTACATTATTTATTGTACTTTTGTATGCTTGCCTTTTACCTCAGGTTGATTATATTTATGTAAGCTTACACTATTTTAATGTGAAATACAAAATGGTTTTTTTATTGTATTGATTAATGATTCTCCCAATTTTAATAATGTAACTCAAATCTCAAAATTCTAATAATTTTGTCATTTAGAATTTGTAATTCCTAAGAAAAATAATAATTACATTCATATTTACAATTTTGACCTACTCAAATGTCAAACCCGATCGATTTGTAGAAACCTTAACCAAGCGGTGAACAGCAATACAAATGCTCTAGTTTTCGGAACTCGCGTGCATTTCTAGGAATTGTCACAGCATTATTTAGAGGGGATGCAAAAGAATAGTATTTCGCTTTTCAAACTGACACTGATGAATCGCTTTCCGTCTTTGCACAATTTTGGAGTTCTTTCAAAAATATACTTTCCAAGAAAAGAATATGTTCTAATCATATGTCCAAACAAAACTCATGTCCTTGTTCTTGTTGGTTATTACATGTCTTGAAGTAGAACAGCTGATGTTGACCTTAATAGGACAATTATTTCCCTTTCACGTTCTTGCAATTTAGTAATTTATTCTAGTCTCATTAATCTGGTCATTATTTAGAATTTTTTTCCTCGCTTTGTTACTGATTTAGCCCTATAACAATTGATTTTCTCTTTTATATTAAATCATCAGAGGAAAATTTTTATTTAACAACTACAAACACACAGATGATGGGTACTTGAGAACAATGACCAACCCTTTTATTATTAAATGAATGTATTGTCATCTATAAATATATTATGGAATAATTCCATTTTCGGAGTGCATGTCTCACCCCACAAAAAAAAAAAAAAAAAAAAAAAAAAAAAAAAAAAAAAAAAAAAAAAAAAAAAAAAAAAAAAAAGAGAGAGAGAGAGAGAAAAGAATAATCTCATCCCACCTAAAATTTTTTTTTTGAAAAAGAAAAAATGAAACTCTCTTTCGATGGGGTTATACAGTCAACATAGAGATCGTGTTGCAGGTATAAACGATAGAATGCCCAAGGATTCTACTTCTACACAATCCAAATTCAGTAGGCAAAGGGTTTGATCACTTTTGGTCCGTGTAAACAGCATCAACATCATCAAGTTCCAGTAATTTGGACACGAGTTCTTTGTTCAAGTCCATGGCCTCATCATCTACCTGAAATCATCAAAACCCTAAAGTCACTGTTACTTCAAGGACAGAAATTTAAAAAAACATACAGGTTTCACAAAACAGTTGCGAAAAAGGATGACTAGAGGAAGTGCACCACTACCACTGTGTCCACACTTTCGTATAGCAAAGGAGGCTGCGGCTAAGAGATCAATGTCACAAAAAATTCAAGCTGTACTTCAGACTGCATTAACTAGTCTCAGATTTACCTAGACACCACAAAAATCTCCATGATACTCATAACTACTGCTACTTACAACTAAGATGGCGCATATTCAAGCTACAAGGAACTAGCTCCAGTATAACTCAATTGAACACAAAACTTTAGAAAATAAAATTTAAAATGCCACAGTATAAGCATTCAATTAAGGTTCTGTGTTTAAGTATGCTGGATAGAAGGACTAACAGCATATGTTCTTGAAAAGGGAATGTCATGGTGAAAACCAAATAGAAATATTTAGAGAATGACGAGTTTGACACTTCATAAATTAATGGCCGTAATAGATAGAAAACAAAGCATATAATTATGCACAACTAATCCTACGGAAGTGAAGAGTATATTGTGCATTAATTGAAAGGTATAATCTTTAATACCTTAGCATAGATGCCAAATAAACTAGCAGTTCATGTAACTAGATAAAAGGTACAATCTTTAATACAAATACTGAAAAGAAATTCAAACCAATCATGAAATTAATATAAGAAAGTAAAAATTTAAACCCTATGACAGCATACAAAGCCAGGAATCATTCAACTCTATGGATATACCTCTACAGTTGATATAGGAATTAATTCTGAACCATTGTCAGTCTCAAAATGTATTTCTGCCTCGCGAAGTTTTGATAATATCTCCAAATAGTTCTCAGAAGAACTTACAACTTTGTAGTAGCTAAGAGAAAGGTAAAAAAGAAGAGATTAGTCCTTTTTTGCAGAACCATAGTATAGTTTACAAAGAGAACTCACTGACTGAGAAAAATATTGTTACAGTAAGATCTCAAACATAAAAGTCAAAAACAGACAGGATTGAGTAGTGGAAATATTTTGGCTGTATCATAACCTATCGCATAACAAATACAAATAACAATGATGGAAAGTTCACCACTAAAAATCCCACATGCTCCCTCAGATTATAGGTTCTTCTTACTAAAGTTCTTCTATTTCCATGAACAGACATTTGAAAATATATATACAGCAACGATATTCCATAACCGATAATGTTCCAACTGAGAAGAGTAGCAGGGATAGCTGCATATGGATATGAAGGATACAACTACAACAGCCTTTCCCCTGCACCCTGGGCCACTGCATAGGAAAAAAAAAAAAAAATCAATCCCACCTCCCCTGTCAAAATGCGCCCTATAGGTTTCAATAAGATCATTGTTAATTACTGGCCTTATTTCGTACAGGCCATGCCTAATCCCTGGCTTCTCAAAAATATATTAACGCGTCCTTGTGATTTGCTCCCGTTGGATTAATAAATCTTCCCATCTAAAATTTGTACTTTTTCCATTAATTTTTAATAAAAAAGACAAATACCCTTTATCCTATTTCTACAATACTTCTTTATGCTAAAATCAAAAATTAATTTTTCTTAGTAATATGAATAATTATTAAAATAGTAGTTTCCTATACTAATTTGTTGAGAAAATAAGGTTATTCTTGTCAATTTACACATTTTTAGAAGCATTTCATCTTTTTATTGAAAAATAAAGGCAAAAGGTGTAAAATTCAGATGGACCAAACTGTTGGATGAGTTTAAAACATAGGGACGCATTCATGTATTTTTCAATAGGCAAGAACTAAGTAGTCGATTTCATCAAACCACAGGGACCAAATAGTGATTCTCCCTAACCTTGTTCCTTCATTTAAAGACTTTGAATCCTTATTCCTGATACTCCATAGATTATGTTCCAAGTCTGTGCATATACTTGGTAAAAGATTCATTGAATTCTTATGCATTTATGTAAGGCAAATCATAAGATGTAACTTCATATTGTCATCTATAAAGCTCTACAACCTTGTCAAATTTATTTACACTCAGCTATATTATTGGAATGATGTTCACATATGTAGTATTAAAATTGTAACTCATGGCACTCCTTTTCTTTTAATCAAAAATGCAGAATAACTTCCCTAGCAATCTCTTGCATGTTTTGCAATATATATATATATATAGTAACAGGGGTTTGCTATCGTATGGGACAAGTTAGAGAAATTAAAGTTTAGGAAAAAAGTGTCGAAACATAAAATTCATATGAAATGAGAGAGCATCACCTTTCTGACCTATCTTCATCAGTATCATCTTCATATATTGAAGGTTCAATGACATCTTCAGCGCCAGCATCCAAGGCAATATCAAGAAGCTGATCCTTGTCAGCATCTGTAACTTTTATATTCACAACTCGGGCACGTCTAAACTTGAACATGACAGATCCTGGATCTGCCATCTTTCCTCCATAGTCCTTCACTACTTCCCTAACAGCTGCCACAGATCTGTTTATTTTGTCAGTTGAGACCTCCACTACCATACTAACTCCGCCATAACCATATACCTAAAAGTGAAAGGAAATTTACTTGAAGAGCCAGTATATTGAAAGAAGGACCATAGTATCCCGTGAAGCTCCCTAAATTCTTTGGATCTTGGCAAAGGCATAAGAAAAGATGAATGATGCTCATACTAACCTCATAAATTTTCTCAATATAAGCCTCTTGTCCCTTTTCAGAAGCCCTCTTAATGTTGCGCTCCAAAATTTCCTTAGGTACATCAAGTTCCTTGGCTGTCTCAAGTACAGCAGCCAGAACTGTATTTGATATTGGATTTGGACCTCCTTTCTTTACACTGCATCAAGCGACAGAAATATTAACTCATTTCAAGAAAGAAATAGAAGTGAAACACATATTTGGATAATGTAGAAAACAAGAATGTTTCTGCTCAAAGCCTCAAAATATAGAAACGAATACCAGTACTTAAGTAGACAGTAATCAACATTTTTTTTTTTTTTTTTTCCCTCAAAAATGATAGAAACGAATACCAGTACTTAAGTAGGACAGTTAATCAAAGTAATTAACATTTTTTTTTTTTTTTTTGAATGTGAAGGTTATTAAGCAGCAAAAAGGGGTTAACAGAAACTAACTTACGCAGATACAACTTCCTTTCCAATCCTCGAATACAGCTTTGCCTTCTTTAGATCTTGAGCCCCCTGCAAATTAACGCACATGCCCAAAATTCAAAGTTAAAGAAAGAAGTGCATCTAATACCATTAGCCAATAATATTATCATCTTGCAACTGATTTATATAATTCATTGATTTTAACAATCCAGCTGCACCACCAAATTAGGGTTTTAGAAAAGAAATGTGAAGAGCCATTTCTGGTAGAATTAACCTGGAATTTGCTTTACGCATTTCATCAAACATGTGGTGTTCGAAGAAAACAAAGTTTCATAAACAAGCATAAGAAAAGAAGCCCACAAAATCAGAATAGAACACTTTCTCAGCTTGTATTAAGTGCAAGAGAGAGACCTTTCTGCCAGCGATTTTGCAAGAACGTCGACCCATACAGACAGGAGGGAAAGTCCGTATCTTTCTCACGGTCGCTTGACAGTGACTATGTTTGGTTTCTTCATATAACAATGAAAACCCAGAAGAAGAAGAAGAACTGGAATATGATGATAATGATGATAAGAGACTCCTATCAAGCCAACCATTCCCTGATCATAAATCACAACAAGAATTGCTTCGAGAAACGAGAGAAGAAGTAACAAATATTATACTAATAAAAAAAAACATACTTAGAGGAGGAAAGGAAGTGATTGGGCATTTGAAGCAGACACCATTTGAGAATCTCAGAAGAATTGATCCTATTGCTCTCATTGCACGTTTCCAAAAATTGGTAACCGGGTGCTCATGAAAATTCTTTCGATTGTTTTTAGAGCTTTTTCCTTTTCTTTTTTATTTTTTCTTACTGTCTGCACAATTCAAAGTATTCTACGCTTAGACTCTGGACTGGACCTACCCATATTCAGGCCCAGAGACTCTCTTAATAAATTACAAATGGAGCCTACTCTAATTTATCAATCTGCCAGTCTGAAATCTGATATAAAAACTGTTACAGCAAACCATCATTTGAAGAATCATTGGATTCATAGTCAAGAGTGTAGATAATGTCTGTTTATAATCTTTTAAAATGCAACTGCAATATGGTTCATGTTTTAGTTTCTATCACTTGCAATTTTTCTCTCTTATAAAAGAAGAGATCTTTGAATATTGAGAGCCATTTCATTTCAATAAAATATGAGAAAATAAACAGTTAAAAAAATATAACAATTGATCAAAATTCTTATTGCAATGGGAACCTTTAAAATTCTTACTTCTAGAGCAGGATCCAAAACTAATACAGGTAGTGCTTATTAGGGCATTATTGGCTGAGAAGAACCATTAAAAGTAATACTGGGTCTCTTCAGTCTCCATGAATAAATTCCTTTATCCTAATGTAAGTAAAGACAGCGTAGTAATGAAAAAAAAAAAGCTCAAACTAGACGTTCTTGTTGATTATTTTTGTCCATAGTTGATAACCTGCAGAAAAAAAAAAAAAACCAAATCACAATAGATAGAAACCAGAAGAACTAACAAAGAAACAAAAAGACAAATTAAATATCATAAAAAATGCAAGAATAAAATTCAGCTTCCGCGATCTAAGCTTTTAGTAGTATGTTTGATATTCAGGAGAAACTACTTTTCCCGAAAACGCCATTTTTAGATCCTGTGGAAAAACAAATTTTTAGAATGTTGTTAACTATTTCTGAAACCTTTATTATTAGAACATGCAAAATTACCTGAAAAACAAACTTTAATAACCTTTAATAAATATATTCAATATAGTGTTATTTTTCTTATCAACCACAGCTCCAATGTTGCATTTCCGCCTTAATCAACAATACACCCCTCGGACCTCATCTGTCATCCCAATCCCATCCAGTTCAGCTTTGAGTTTCCCCGCACGACTACCTCTACAGAAGTAAAATGTATTGGTCTGTTTTATGTTGTCCAGAAAGCCTCAAGTTCATGTTCTACAAATACTAAAATGAAGAAACGATTCGGGACTTGGAGATAAAAGAAAAGTTTAGGGTGTATTCGGTCGTGGAAAACTGGAGTAGTTTTTTAGAACAATTTACAAAAAACTGAAGATCAGAGTTTTGTATTCAAATCAGTCAGTTTTCTATTTGGAAAATTAGAAAACATTTTTCCAGTTTTCCAAAATTTAACTAAGATTCAGAAAACAGTTTTCCAGGGTTTTCCTTTATAACAAAAGGCATGTTTTCCAACTGTTTTCCACTTTTAAAAAATGAAATTTTCATAATTAAAATTATAATATCTGTTTCTATAAAATATTTTCATTCGAAAAAATAAAAATATTTAAATAAAATAAAATTTTATATTATGCTTTAATATAAATAAAAATATTTTAATAAATAAATTATATTATGCTTCTACATAAAATTTTTAAAATTTTGATTTTTTTAATTATTATTTTTTTATTTAATATTAATTTTTTACATTTATTTAATTTTTTTTTCCCCAATTTATTTTTTTTTTTTTAATAAATAATTAATTTTATTATTATAATACATTATATCCTTTATTTTTAAAAAAATTACAAAATGATAGAAAATGATATTATTATTATAAATGATCAATAATAAAACTTCAAAAACTTTTACATAAAAAATTTCTAAATTTATTTTATATTATGAAAGTTATGAATAATGTTTATTAAGTTAAATTAAAATATGATTTTTTTATTATTATCAACTGAACTTACTTTCCATTTTGTTTTTTCTAGTTTTATTTTTTAAGAAAACTGTTTTCTAAAAAAACAGAAAATATAAAAAAGAAAACTGTTATATGTATGTAAACGCACCCTTAGTGTTTCTAGTAGTAATTCAAGGTTCCAAAATAACAAGTTCAGTACAAAGATAACATTCATATAGTAAAAAAAAAAAAAAAGAAGAATGCAGTAGCAGCAGTATCAAATCAAGAAGCATTCATATAATCATAAGTACCTCAAATAAACATTTTTGGCCCTTGAATCATCTCCAATGTAACTGACAGGATCTGCCAATCTTTTGTTGAATTGTATTAGGCATCCACATTTTCAATCTTTTATCAAGCACAATGTAGCACAGTGACTTGCACGTTAATAACCTGACCACAGAGTCCCCAGAAATAGTGTAACAAGAAGCGAAAACTAGTTTTTCCAAACATTTATGACTAGCAAAAGAACAAAGGCCAGCTCCTGTAATCATTTCACATCCTGTTAAATCAAGTGCCACCAAATTCCTACAATTCTCAGCTATTGCAACTAGTGCAATGTCTGACACATTGATCAACCAAGAAATGTTCAATCTTTTAAGATTTGAAATTGAGGCAATTGCCAAACCTCCATAATCCGTCACTTTAGGTCCGCATTCAGCTAAATTCAGATCTTCCAAGCAACACATTTTCTGCAATATTGACACACCAAAATCAGTGATTCTATCACATTCTGCAACAAGTAACCTTTTCAAGGTCCTTGAAGAAGACCCAGTTGCCAGAAATTCCAATCCACGATCTGTAATTAATGAACAAGCTTCAAAATTCAAAACCCCAATACAATTCATACTCCCAATTGCTTCAAGAGAGCTATCATCGATCAAACCACACCTCCCCAAATCCAAAGTAGACAAATTTTGTGCACAATTAACAAGATCAATAACCCCAACATTTCCAACATTCTTTCTCCTTCTTAACGAGACTTTGGTTAATTTGCAGCACTCATTTGCTATAGCACAAATACCATTATCACTGACATCATTAGAATCTTCTGACTCATCAAACCCATCCAAATTGCGAGATTGTCTGAGGTTAAGATTAAGAAACTCGAGCCTTGGACACGTTTTGGCGACGAATTCAAGTTCGGTATTGGAGAAACGTTTCGGTGATTCAAAAGTGACCAAATTTGGAAACCTGGGCAAGAAATTGCAGAGGAGATCAGGTTCAAGAACTCGAATGGATAAACGGGTTTGGCCCTCGACTCTAAGCCACTGCTTACAAACAACAGAACATGATTTTCTGTCGTTTGGATCATAGACCCAGTTGAGAATTGAGGCTAGCTCATCATCGCCTAGTTTTGACATGAGTATTTCAGTGAATTCCTACTTGCTATTGAAAAGAAAGAAGATACGAGATATGATTTGATTCATGTGGATTCTGCAATCTTGCCATTCGCATAAAGAAAACAGTTTTAATTATTTATGATGATGACCTACCTTTTCCTTTTTATATACCTTCCGTCGCATGACGATGAGTTTTAAGTTAAAACGCCGTCGCATAAACGGGTCAGTGCCATAGTGTTGTATTTAGCAGGAGGGGAAGTGAGTACCAAATTTGGTTAGCACAAAAATTATACAAGACAATTTATATTTTCTAATTATAAGGTTTCTAAATAATAATTCTATTAATATTTTGGCCTTTTATATAAAATACCTTCTTTTCATTATCAATTAAATGAGAAAACACGAAATTAAAAGATTTTAAGGTAAAAATAATATAAATTGATCCTTAAATTATAATCAAATTAATTATAAAATTTTTTATTTATGATTTCATTAACGTCTCAGTTCATCTAATTTAGATAAATGAACTAAAGTATCAACATAATCATAATTTATAAATCTCATAATTAATTTTTTTTAAAAATAAATACTCTCATATATTAATTTGATTATAATTTAGAGGCCATTTTTTTTAAATGTATGAACTCTATCTCCATTCTTCTCAAAAAAAAAAAAAAAAAATGTTTGACTCTATTCTCATTCTTCTCAAAAAAAAAAAAAAATCCAATCTCTATTAACTCCCCTTATAATCCATTCTTCTCAAAAAAAAAAAAAAAATCCATCTCTATTACTCCTTATAATTCGAAAATGTACTAATATAAAAAAAATAAGATATTCAAAAAATAGAACTACACTAATATTAATATCATTTATTATAGAAATACCTTAGACAAATCTAATTTTATTACGTATTATTTTTTACGAAATTATTTTAATTATGTTTGTCGAATATAATAGAAGCTATCTATAATAGTTTGCATACAACTTTAAATCATTTCATTATTTTACTTGTTGTTATACATATTAAATTTAAAATTAAAATTAAATATTTTTTATAATATATTTTTAGTGTAAACCACGGGTATCCGAATTTTATTATTAAAAACCGTCTAATCCGACTTAGAGTTTAGTTACAAATCATTTTTATAATATTTTATTATATATTGATTCTGAAATTTTTTTTTTCTTTTCTAAATCGCCACTAATTAATGTATTGTATATTTCATCATGTAGCATGTACCGATGAAATAGATAATGAAAAAACAATTATAAATCCAATTTTGTTTCAGAATAAAATTCATATGATAAACATAACAATATTATTATCATTAGCTGTTGTAGGAAAGTTTGTGTAAACATAATGATCCCTGAATTTAAGAAGAAGCATGTTCGTATGAGATCGAAATTGGAGCTATTCGAACAATTATTGGCATATTTCACCAAACATCATCAAAGCATGTGCTGTGTTGTTATCTTGTTGCCCTTCCTTTTTCTCCTTTCACACTTCTGCTTCCTTGCGTTACTATATTCGAGCACCATTTCAAATTAAACCTGCTCATATTCGAGTTCGGGTTAGGTTGAACGGAGAGTTAAAAAAATTACATTCGACTCAAGCTTGGTCCGACATTAATAAATTACGTCGCCTATCTACATACGATGCCGTTGAATTTGTTAAATGAAATTGAGTGGCATTCGGATAACAAATGACATCGTTGGACTTAGCTACGAGATTTTTAAGAACCAACTACCGTTACAAGAGGTAATAAAAATCAGTTGGTGACGTCAACCGTAAATCTCGTAAGCTACAGCCTACAGTTAAGTGTACGAGATGAAGAATCGAAACTGATAGTTTCATTTTTCTTTAAAGAAAAACAATTATAGTGATTTTATTTTCTTTAATTATGCTAACTACTTTCAGTTTCTATTACTAAAATAATAATATTGGTTCGAAGAATTCCCTACCTGCTGTCCCCACCACCAATCAAATGCGATTACTAACGTTTAACTGTCCAAATCGAACCTTGAGATGGTCAGTTCTACCTTTCTCTCTTTCACACAAAACAATAATTTCCATCAGATGAGTTTTTGTTCGGTGCCATCTCATCATCACTCATGCGCTTGCTTTTATTTTCTTGGTGAGTTGTAACTTCGCATGTGTCAACACCACCACTTTACTGTATTTTAATTAGCTTAATATAAATATTGACCCACAATATTATTTTATTATCTAACTTCAAATACACATTATAACTTCAGTTTTTCTTTTCCTTTTTAAATTTTCGCTGTACATTTCTTTTTTATTTGCATATTTGTTTTCATATTTTAATTAAGTATATTTCTTTATTATATATTTGTTTTCATATTTTCATAATAACTTCAAGTATATTTGTTTTCATTATAATATATTTCTTGTATTTAATATTTAATAGAAAAAAAAATATTTGGATGGGAGGCTTCTAATAAGACCCTTATGCAGGAGCTTCCTAGATGTAGATTTACAAAATTTACCGAAAAGTCTTTTTTTTTTTTTTTTTAATGAGCTTCGCTAGATGTAGATTTTACAAAATTTTTACCGAAAAGTCTTTTTTTTTTTTTTTCTAATACTCCGTCCGTTTCATATAATTATATTATATTCCACTTTTCTTTTTCGTTTTTTTCCATATATAATCTATTTTATTTTTTTAAAAAGATACTTACTATTTATTTCTTAATATACCTGCTACTTTAATATATATTTTATATTTCTAATTATATATATTATATTTAATATGTATTAAAAATGTATATAGTATATTTAATATTATTAAAAAATATATAGTTTAATTATATTCATCAATTTTTCTTAATCTATGTAAAAATCAACTAAACTCAAATATTTTCTTTGGATAAAATTCTCTTGACTAATTAAAATTTTTATTTTTATATTTTTGAGGAATTTTTGCATACGGTGTAATGTGTCAATCACAATTTAATTAACTTACATCAATTAGAAAAAGTTATAGAATATATATTTTTAAGATCTTACGTGACACGTAATTTGCATTGTATTTTTTAAATTTAATTATTTTTTTCCTAAAGTTTAGGTTTGAGATTTCCAAAATGAGATTTTAGTTTTCAATCTTAATTAAATTGAGCAAAATATTATAATTATACAGTTTTTTCTCTTCTAATGTTAATATATATAATAATTCGCGGTCTTAACATGAAAAGACGTGTAAAAAAAATGGTCTTAGCGAAAGGAAATAAGGAAAAAAAGAAAAAAAAAAAAAAAGAAATATATTTGAAGAAAAGTTTGTAAAGCATTTCCCAAGAAGAAAGACGACCACTGTAACTGTACACAATATCACAATGTGCACTACACCATTTTCTTACCCAAGATTAAGAAACGAAAAAAAAACAAAAAAAAAAAAAAAAATAAAAATCCCTCTGTCTCTATAGTCTCATCCTCTTTGCTTTTCTGTGCTCTCTCTCTCTCTCTCTCACAAGCACACACACCTAATCGGCTTTCTCTGTTCAGAAAGACCTTTCTCATTAGGGCCATTCCCTATAGAGAGAGTCAACTCCACACGCTCGTTGCAACCTCGCACCACCCGTTAATTGCCTTCTAGAACTTACTGGCACGATCTCGGTCTCCATTTCGGTCCAAACTCGTGACTTCCCAGCTCAACCGATTCCGAACCTTCGAGCCACCGCTTACGAGATCTTTCGTGCGGTATCCCCGCACCTCCAGCCGTGGCAAAGCCTCCACCTACATCTCCAATTCATAGCCAACTCCTGATTCTCCGAATCACCATCAGCTCGCCTAACTGCTCCCGCCTTACAGCGCTCGCTCACTTCTGCTTGCGGCTAGTAAAATGAAAAGAAAGCCTTTTGCTTGAATCTCCAGGCTCGGGTTCTAAGAAGAGTCCCCGGGTCAGGTCAAAAAAAAAAAAAAAAAAAAAAAAAAAATCCCCTCTGTCTCTATAGTCCATCCTCTTTGCTTTTTCTGTGCTCTCTCTCTCTCTCTCTCACAAGCACACACACCTAATGGCTTCTCTGTTCAGAGACCTCTCATTAGGCCATTCTAAGAGAGAGTCAACTCCACCGCCGTTGCAACCTCCACCACCCGTAATGCCTTCTAAACTTACTGCCACCGATCTCGAGTCTCCATTCGGCCAACTCGCTTCCCAGCTCACCGATTCCGACCTTCGAGCCACCGCTTACGAGATCTTCGTGGCGGTATCCCGCACCTCCGCTGGCAAGCCTCTCACCTACATCTCCAATTCATCCAACTCTGATTCTCCGAATCACCATCACTCGCCTAACTCTCCCGCCTTACAGCGCTCGCTCACTTCTGCTGCGGCTAGTAAAATGAAGAAAGCTTTTGGCTTGAAATCTCCAGGCTCGGGTTCTAAGAAGAGTCCCGGGTCAGGTCCGGGCTCGGGCCAGGCCAAGTCCAGGAAGCCATTGACTGTTGGAGAGTTGATGAAAACGCAAATGCGGGTGCCGGATACTGTAGATTCAAGAATTAGGAGAGCTCTAGTGAGGGTTGCTGCTGGTCAGGTTAGCTCAATTTTGAATTTTTATTTCATTTCCTATGCATATGCCTATTTAGCTCAATTGGGGGAAATATTTTGGTTTCATTTGAATATTGATTGATCTAGTACTGTTATTATAATAATTTGTTGATTTTACTACTACGGTTGATCTGATTAATAAGGTGCTGCGGCTGATAAGTGTGGATCATGATTCTGTCACTTTGCCTTGGAGAAAACAATAATTCTAATTTACGCAAGAATTCCTTAGAAAGAATAATGCAGTTTTCTAATCTTTCTTTTGTTAAAGTTTTTTCGTTGAATCTTTTATCTCAAAAGAAAAATCGTTGGATTGCCTCCGTTTGTTCTAACTTTCTAATTTTTACGAAAGAATTTTGAAAATTTTGAATTTACTGGAAGCTGAACCATTCAAGAATTTTTCTTTTGAATGTAATGTAACGCGATAGGATATTATGTTTGTCTTTCCATAGTTGTTGGTTTCTGCATTACGTTTGCTTTGTGGATTTATTTTTTCCTATTATGACAATCTCTATCTATTGTTTGGGACTTACTTCATACTGTCTTTTGTTACTCTGAATTTTAAAGTCTGAGGTATACCGATTATGTAGGACTCTTGGTACTCAATCCTAATAAAATATTTTGCACTCTGGTTATCTTCATTGTTTTGCCATTAAAAAAAGTAACTGTATTTTTAATCATCATGCATTAGTCCTGAGTTTTGTGAGTTTTACTGCCTGTTTGGGTTGTGATGGTTTCTTTTCATAGTTGTAACCTCCTATTAACATGCTTGTCACAGGCTGGAAGGCGAATTGAAACAGTTGTTCTTCCGCTAGAGCTATTACAGCAGCTTAAGTCTTCAGATTTTACTGATCAACAAGAATATGAAGCATGGCAAAGGAGAACTATGAGAGTTCTTGAGGCTGGACTTCTTCTGCATCCTCGTGTACCGCTTGATAAGTCTAATCCTACTTCACAGCGGTTGCGGCAAATTATTAATGGGGCTCTGGATAGACCTATAGAAACTGGAAGGAACAATGAGTCAATGCAAGTGCTTCGTAGTGCTGTTATGTCTCTTGCTAGTAGATCTGATGGGTCTTTCTCCGAGATATCCCACTGGGCTGATGGAATTCCATTGAACCTTCGCCTCTATGAAATGCTTTTAGAAGCCTGCTTTGATGTTAATGATGAATCATCTATAGTGGAGGAAGTTGATGAACTTATGGAACACATAAAGAAAACTTGGACTGTCCTTGGAATAAATCAAATTCTCCACAACCTCTGCTTTACATGGGTTTTATTTCATCGGTTTGTTGCAACTGGCCAAGTGGAAACGGACCTGCTTGATGCTGCTGATGCTCAGCTGATTGAAGTTGCAAAGGATGCAAAGACAACAAAGGATCCTCAATACTCCAAGATTTTGAGTTCTACATTGAGTTCAATATTGGGTTGGGCAGAGAAAAGACTCCTTGCATATCATGACACATTTGATAGGGGAAGTATTGATGCTATGCAAAGCATTCTTTCTCTGGGGGTGTCAGCAGCCAAGATTTTAGTTGAGGATATATCTAATGAGTATCGCAGAAAAAGGAAAGGTGAAGTTGATGTAGCTCGAAGTAGGATTGATACCTACATTAGGTCATCACTGCGCACTGTTTTTGCTCAGGCAAGTCTTTCCTATCTAAATTATTTTGTGATAGAATTGTGATCAATTAACCTCAGCAACCTTGTGGCATTTTAGAGCATTGGAAGCACCTAACATCTCTCTGTTACATAATTCATAAGAGTGCAACTCAAAATACAATGTTCATTTAAAATATTAGGTGCTCGGTACATAATTATTATTTGATTTCTGAATAAATGAAATATCTTTTTGGAGTACTGTGGTTTCATTTTTAGGCCTTCTTACCTCGTTTTGCAGCCCATATTTCTTAAACTGTAACAGAATTTTTGTTAAATCTCATTATCTACCAATTTTTAAGAGAGATTTCCTTTAAGAGCTGACCAACCTAGTTTGGCCTTTTATTTTAGACCTCCTCATTCATAACCAAAAGTGGCAAAGAACTTATGTGTTTATATACTTGTGGTCCTTAATGGGAGGCCTAGCTGTCAAGAGGTCAGAGTAGTGCAATAACTCATACGGCAGTTCAAGCTCAAACCAAGTGAGATCTAATAGCTAAAACTCAGCCTTTAGTTGATTGATGGATTTATTTACTCAATTCTGACCTAGTACCCTGATATGTTGCTTCCATATCTAGCCTAACATACAAGTCTTTCCTTCCCGGTGAAAGTTTCATGAATGCATGTGTGCACATGACAACACACACACACACACACACACACACACAGAGGTGTTGGGGATGAAATCAAAGGATATGGAGCTGCATTTAATGTTTATGGCTATCTATAAGTTGCTTATAATTGTTTTTTGATTTGTTGTCAATAGTTAATGGAGAAAGCAGACTCAAGCAGGAGAGCATCAAAAAATCAGCCCAATCCGCTTCCTGTTCTTGCAATCCTTGCCAAGGATGTTGGTGATGTGGCAGTTAATGAGAAGCAAGTATTTAGTCCAATACTAAAGAGATGGCACCCTTTTGCAGCTGGTGTGGCTGTGGCCACACTGCATGCTTGCTATGGGAACGAGTTAAAACAATTCATATCTGGCATAATGGAATTAACCCCAGATGCTGTACAAGTGCTGAGAGCTGCAGATAAACTGGAGAAAGATCTTGTGCAAATCGCTGTAGAAGATTCAGTAGACAGTGATGATGGTGGAAAGGCAATTATCCGTGAAATGCCTCCTTATGAAGCTGAAAGTGTAATTGCCAATCTTGTAAAAGCATGGATCAAAGCAAGACTAGATAGACTGAAGGAATGGATTGATAGAAATTTGCAACAAGAGGTATGCACTTGCTGTCTGTTTTTAGGTTGGTTTATTTTCTGATAGAACACTCTTTGTATTTGGTTTTACTATTGAATGCAGTAACTTCATTATTTTGCCAGGATTTACTATCCAACTTGATATTGATCATTGAAATTATGTTTACTAATAACTTAATTACCCTCTGTAAAGTTACATCCATTACGCTACTGCAATTTCTGGCCCCATAAAACAAATTTCTAAGCATATGAATGGTGAGAGCTGAAAAAGGCCTTGGACACTGATTCTGTGTTTGATTGAATGATTTGGTTGATGTTCTGAGACATTTATGAGAACTTGGTTTCAAAATTAAAACAGATTCAAGAGGACAGTTGTCCATTTATTGATTCTTACACTAGTTTTTTAACTGTTGTGTTTCTTCCCAGGATCTGAATGCCGCTGCCTTCAATTCCTTTTATTGGATACTTCTCATATGATTTTGTTGTTAGCTTTTTCTCGAGTAACCAATTTGGTGCAATATTTGTAGGTCTGGAATCCGCAGGCAAATCAAGAAGGATTTGCTCCATCTGCTGTTGAAGTTCTGCGAATTATTGATGAAACTTTGGATGCATATTTTCAGTTGCCAATACCAATGCATCCAGCTTTGTTACCTGACTTGATGGTTGGGTTGGATAGATGTCTTCAATATTATGCAACCAAGGCAAAATCTGGCTGTGGTAAATCTTTGCAAAGATGAAGCAAGTTGCCTATAGCTTTCAGATTTTGGGTTTCTAATAGCTTCAGTTTTCAATTTGATTGTAGGGTCACGGAATACATACGTACCAACTATGCCAGCATTGACCAGATGCACAACAGAATCAAAGTTTCATGGTGTGTGGAAAAAGAAAGAGAAGTCTTCAAATCCTCAGAAGAAGAATTCTCAGGTTGCAACAATGAATGGGGATAATTCTTTTGGGATACCCCAGTTATGTGAGCGTATAAACACTTTGCACCGACTCCGAACAGAGTTGGATGTTTTGGAGAAGAGAATAATAACCCATCTAAGGAACTCTGAGTCTGCTCGTACCGAAGACTTTTCAAATGGCTTGACAAAGAAGTTTGAACTCACACCATCTGCTTGCATAGAAGGAGTTCAACAGCTTAGTGAGGCACTGGCATATAAAATTGTTTTTCATGATCTAAGTCATGTTTTATGGGATGGTCTGTATGTTGGGGAGTCATCATCTTCTAGAATTGAGCCTTTTCTTCAAGAGCTTGAGCGCAACTTGATCATCATATCGGATACCATGCATGAAAGAGTTCGAACTCGAGTTGTTACTGATTTAATGAGAGCTTCTTTTGATGGATTCTTGCTTGTTTTGCTTGCTGGAGGCCCCTCCCGTGCTTTCACTCGTCAAGATTCTGAAATAATAGAGGACGATTTTAAATCCCTTAAAGATCTGTTTTGGTCGAATGGGGATGGCTTGCCTGCTGAATTAATAGACAAGTTCTCAATTACAGCCAGAGGTGTTCTTCCCCTTTATCGAACTGACACAGATAGCCTCATCGAGCGATTCAGACGTGTAACCTTGGAAGCATATGGCTCTTCTGCCAGGTCTAGACTTCCACTGCCTCCAACTTCAGGAGAATGGAATCCTACTGAGCCAAACACCCTCCTTCGGGTGTTGTGTTACCGGAATGATGAAGCAGCATCCAAGTTCCTCAAGAAAACATATAATTTGCCCAAAAAGCTCTAAACAAATTTGTGGTGCTGTGAATAAGCACGGGAACTACGACATGCAAAACACACCTGTAACTGTAGTTATATTTATAGCAAAGATGATCCAGATGGGATACTCCATGTCATGCTTGGGTGAGCTGGTGGGTGCCTTGGGAACTATCAGTGAATTTGTATAGTACGTTAGCGATGTCCTGGCCAAGTCCATTTGCCTTCGAACAAATCAGAACTATGAGCGTGACGAAACTAAGAGGTCAGGCCACTTCCCAGAGCTTTATTGGTGGAGATCCAATATTATTTATTCAATTACAGAGTCCTTCAGATTCTTCATTGCTGCTTTGCTTTTACCCCGTTTCTTTTTTTCCCCTTTTTTGTGTCCATTTCTACTTTCTGATGTCATTTGTTCCCTATTCCTTTTTTCTTTGACAAATTCCTTTATATCGGGGATGTATTCCTTATATATAATATTAAACAGAGCAGGCCTAGTATAGTGACATTTGGGTCTATTATAGTGCCGATATATATATTTTTTACCTGTATCATAAGGCTGGCTTATGTTGATTGCAATTGATAACATCTTTTCCTACCTTTTTGAGATGTCAATGTTTGTGTAACTATGTTAGAAAAGTATGATTTCTAAACTTGAGCTCTACTGTAACTTTCATCTGAGCAAGACATCTATTGCTCACTATTGGCATGGCCCTTCTTACTTTCCGCGTAATTTTTTGTGCAATAAAAATTTCAGGATGTAAGGATCCCCTCTTGAATAGACAATGAAAGATTGAGGTGCACGCTAATAGCTTCAAGTAGTTAATGCCTAGAAATGAATCCTCAAGTAGAGACTTACGGAATAAAAATAACAAAATTTGAAAAGAATATCTTTTAGCAATTCTTCAACCACTAGAATATACAACTCAGTTCCAACAATAACATTTCCTTCTCATGAACCAAATTTTGAACAGCACTGAACAAAGAGGTAATAGATGTATCAAACTCCGGCTGCAGATCTCGTCTGTAAATCCTTGAATAGGCATCTTGCTACTTCTGCCACCTTCCGAGATGTTAAGTCTTCAAGTTGAACAATTACTGTAATTTTTAGAACAATAAACCCAACCACCGAAACATATCCGTTCCATGAACAATCAGCTGTGTGAAATTTTTATACAATGATGCAGTCCTCCAGGAATTCATCAGCTAAACATTTCTTTGAAATGAGTGTGATTATGGCTGCCATAGCATTTGAATATTAATGGTATCAAACAATGCCAAAAGCCAGAGTATCATGATTCTTCTAGGATGGCACGTCCAAGATTTGTAGCAAGAGCTAGTCTAACAGAGCCCAAGGCCTGGGGCGGCAACTCAGCTTCAACAAAGTCTGGGCGCAGTCTTGCCATCGATAACTCTTGCAGTTTATTCAACAGAAGGTTTGTTTGAGAGACATTTAGCAAAGGTCGCTCCTGCCAGTTAAGCAGTTTCAACTGCAGGAAACAAATATCGAAGGTAAATATGCAATTATGCATAGCTACTAAACTAGAGAGCACTTATAGGCATTGTGCAATCCAGAAAAGCTTTTGTTCGTAATAATAATAGCCTTCCCATTTTCAGAACTCAAAACAGAAGGGGATGAGAAAATATAGGAATACAGTCTGCATACACCCAGGCAAAAGCCCAAACAGACATTTTGGTCCACTTATTATACCGAAAAAACCCTGGCCTATAGCCCAATAAGTTGTTATAGTGCACAAAAAAAAAAAAAAACTGAGATTAAAGAACAGGTCACCGAATCGTGGAGAAGAGGCAGCCAGAAACGTTGAGGCGTAGAAGGGTTCTTCATAAGCTGAAGATTCATAAAGGAGAGATTAATCAGCATCTAGAATTGAAATGAATATAAATAATATAAAGATTGTCCTTGCAAGCCTAAGGCCGCCTGTATATGAAAAGAAACTTCTCTTAGAGGGCCTGAGCAAAAAGTGTGCATTTAAACAAGGAGGTGCATCATCATGACAAGCTCTAGGATCTCAGGAATCATAGATTACTTTATAAGAATGGTACTACAGCTAAAAGCCTAACCATGGCACATACCGACATCAGTGATTCCACAGCTTGCTGAGCAGCATCTGTAGTTTTTCCGTCAGAAACCTGCTTAAGGGATCTCTTAAAATCCCTATACCTGTGGTGCAACTAAGGTTAGTGTCAAGGAAAGATAAAGACAAATGAAAATGGGAAAATAAAAGCAGATGATAATAACTGCTGCTCAATCGGAAAAATCCTTACTTGTGAAGGAACTCAAGACCCCCGGCATTCTTAGATTCTGAACCCAGCAGTTCAATTAAACCTTCCCATTGCTGTGCAGCAAAGAAATGAAATCAATTTAAAGGTTATTGTCCTTTCAAAATAATTAAGACAGGGCATTTGAAGAAACTTCGACTGGAACCACACTGACTGCTTAATTGAATAAACTGAAATAAAAAAAAAATTTTAAAAAAAAAAACCTTGAAACATTCATCAGAGATTGACTTCCCAACAGAATCAAACAACTGCTGAGCAATTCTGTTAAGGCAAACTTCATCCCGAGCTTGCTGAAGCCAAAAAACTCCAGAACCTTTCCTACCATGTTTCCAATGGTATATTCCTGCAATCTAAACATAAATACCAAATTGCAAACATAAATACTATATGTTTCTAAGAAGAATATGACTTTGTTAAAGACTCTTGCGTGTGATGAATACAAGCTCCAGGCCAAGTTTAAAGCCACAAGAGTTATCAACTCCATGATTTTTTTAGGTGTGTTACTGTGTTTGTAAATCAATAAATCACATGAAGCCTTCAAAGACAAGACATACCTTCATAATTTTTGAGCTGACACTGTCAAGGTCATATAGACGGCAAATCTCCAAATTCTACAATTTTTAAAAGAAAAAGTTCAATCTCAAGATTTGGATAGCAACTCAACATGATCAAGTTAAAAAAGGCCCGATGGCAACAAGAATGAAGGATAAAACTGATAATGAATTGATTACCTTCACCAGTAATTGATTATGTTGAACAGGCTGCCTGTAAAATAAAATCTCTAATAATCCCATTCCCTGCTTCATGCACGATATCAAATAAATTGGAGCAATCTGTGAACACAAAAGAATCCAGTTAAGTTCAAAGGGAAAAAAATGTGGAGAAAAAGAAAAAGGAATAAATCATTCTCCACAAAAGTTTAATAAAGGTTAAATGCCAAAAGTAAGAGCATAATGACATTGATTAAAATATCAAAAATGAGTTTGGACTTACTTGCCAAGTTAAAATATGAGAAGATAGCACTTGAGCATAAACAAGTCGATGGAGCTCCTCTATACTGATTCCACCCAAGTTATCACGCTCCTCACGTAAAATAATTTCTGCTTGATTGCTCCCAGCAGTCAAAAATTCTATGGCATGAGCTACCATCCTGTCAACAAGTCACAAATTTACACTCCATAATGGAAGCAGCAGAATTATAAGCTTCACTTAGTCTAATAATCTCTTATTTTAGACTTCCTACAGTGTAGGAACTTTCTTTATAAGAAAAAAAAGAGACTAGAATCCAAATTCATGTATTCCATGAGTCAAGGTAAAAATAAGATTGGAAAATAGGATAAGCAAGCAGCTCACCAAGGTCCAAACCCTCTTGAGCATTCTGCCAATATAGCCTGCAGTTGAAAAACCCCAGTGAGTTTTATTGAAGAAAAGAAACTGATTGTAAAATGATAGAGAATTTGCACTAGCAGTCAGCCAAAAAACTCACCTCTGTATTTTCCCCAAGAATTCCAATTACAAGCTGCATCAATTTATGTGGACTGGACATTGGCTTTAACTGAATGCATTTTTGAGCTAGGCTGTACATGCTTTCTAAGCCCTAAAAGCAGCAAATGGATTAATGTGGCATTCAGCTTCACTAATTCATAGAAATTATTAATAATATAGAATTAAGAAACTGAGAACCCAATGAAGCAAACATTTATGATCCATTAAACACGGAAATTCAACAAGAAGACTAGTCAGCACTTACTACAGTGAATGGCCTTATGTATAGAACGTGAGATATAAACAGCTCCATCCAATTACAAGTTGCAGTTGAGAGAATAGTATTATTTCCCAGCATTATCTGAAGCATGTTTTTCAAGCCCTCTCGAGTCTGACGGTGATCACACTGAATCCAGAATGAACTGGACTCCAGCTTAGTTACTTGTGCTCGCCACCTCTCCCATGCCTAGGCAATTGAAACATATGACACAATTAATATAGCAAGAACTCAAGGAAAAAAAGAAGAAAATGATTAAAGGATTTATATGGATTACTTCTTTATGCAAAATAATCAAAAGTACCTTCATAAAATCAGGCTTCGCTTTAAAGCATTCACCCAATTTCCCAGCTCCTAATTCCAATCGCATGCGTGGCATCTTTGAAATAAGAACAGCAACAGCCTCTACAAGACCATTCTCTGTCTGCTCAATGACATGCAAAAAGAAGATGCTGTAAGATCCAACACTGGGAACAAGCTTACAAAGACATCCAGTAATCATAACCATGTAAATTAATTAGATATATGCACAGACAATCAAAGTACAGTAATACGAAACACAAATTGGAAAATAAAGTCATGCATCTCACTTTGGCTGGCTGCAAAAATATTGAGGGATAGAAGCTTAAACAATAGAAGAGGATGTCCTCAGAATCCAACACATGATACCAATTGCATGGGTATTTCAACTCAATAGCAAATGCCAAAGAATAAGAGGCTGTCAGGGAGATAGGTTTCTATCAAATGCCAATCATTTCTTATTAGATTCTTACCAACCTCTCTGTTGCTGAGCTGATCCAGTCGATAAGATCCATGCAACCGCAACATCTTCACCTGCAAGTGAAAAATTTATAGAGTGCATTTCATTTGCACATTCCAAAAGAAGCGTTTTTCATCTTTTTATCATTGCAAATAAATGTAGCACCACCTATTTACAGCAGAGACTACAAAAACTACTTACTGCAATATCTAGCCAACCAACTGCAAGTACCGATGATATCACCTCCCAATATTTAGAATCATCCTCAACCACCTTCATAAAACAATAAAAAATTCCACAATCATAAAGAATTAAACAGTATTTATGAAAAAGAATTGTAACTTAATTACCTAAAACATTAATGAACAACAAAATTGTCATTACTTCACGAATAAAACTCTCTCAACCCCAGTACATAGTAATTTTCTAAAAAGGAAGCCGATTGTATTTTATCAATCTGACCAAATTTCATCAGAACTGAAACTTTAACAGACAAAAAAACCAACATTACCAGAAAGCAACAAACTATGAGTTTGTGAATGATATATTTTCAAAACAATCAGGATAAAGAAAAATGTCATACAATACAGTCCGAAAAAATTATAAATTAGAAATATCATGTGGATCACCTTACCATTAGCAATAGTATTAGAAACCAATTAATCAAATACAAGGCATAATAACACAGGATCCCAACTGTAGTAATAGAAACTTTCATTGTAAACACGTGGAGAACGTGTCCCTCCACCAAGCACAAAAGTAGTTAAGTCCCTATTTTGTTTTTCCCCATTTCTATACAAGAAAGTAGAGAGTAGAGAGAATCTAGGATAGGAGAACATAGAACATAGTCAAACCTGTAAGGTGACAAGTCTTTCCTGAAACTGCAAAAGTTTCAAATGTACGGTGGCCTGTGTACTTGATAGGAGGCTATCATAATCCTGCCATGAGAAAAAATCATAATAACCACAAAATCGAAAAAGGGGTTCAGCAAATATAATACCAAAAGATCAAGCAGATAAAAGGATAAGAATTATTATCATTACAGCCAACCAATCAACAAGACGCTCAGGAAGCCATGCTTGGGACAACTTGTCTGCATAGAACATCTCCATCAGATCCCATGCTGCCTTTAAACAAGTTGGTTCCTCACCTTTCTACACAAAATAATTTATATAATTACAAAAGAACAGATCTAAAACCAAAAAGAACTATGCTAACTTCAGTACCACAACTGAATCAAAGCTTTAACCTTCAAAACTTCCTTTGGGTCTTCAATAACTGGACTAACCAGTGACTTTGGATTAACAAGAAGTGAACCTATGTCCTTGCTATATTCCATTACGTACTCCCACCTGATAGATCACATTTTTAATTATTATATAAGAGATTAATTAACTGAAAATGTTTTTATTTAAAAGATGAGATAATAAATCAATTACCACTCAAGATGATAAGGAGACGGACTTAATTGCATGTTTGACAAGCTCGAAACAGAATTTCTACGACTATGAAGAAGTGCGAAAGGAGCAACAGAGCCATAAGAGATCCTTCGCCACTGCGCGTCGTTTAGCTCTCCATCTCCATTGCCGCCTAAGCTCACTTCCACTACTTTCCCCCCAAGCTCGTCGGAATCGGCGTCAGACGACGGTTGACGGAAAACTGAGACTTTTAATGTGTTGCCTCGAGCCCAAGAGATAGATACACGGGAGACTGGGGGCTTGAGGCCGTGGCGGAGTGGGTAAACTACGGCAACCTGAGAGTCCGGCAGAAAGGGGACTAACGCACCGCTGATTGAATCTGACGCGCCACCTCCACCAGAGCCGGAGGCGACGCCGGGCATTTTGGAGTGTGTTTAAGTGTTAGGGTTTTAGAAGGGTTTGTGAAACAAATTAGAGAACTGGAGATCGACAGCAGTTTGCAGACTGCAGTCTATAGAGTGAGGCTAAATGCTAATTTGCGCTACTACGTTAAGGGTTCATAGTCTATGAATAAAAACGCACCGTTTCTACTTGTCCCGCTTAAAAACGTTTAATTTACATTTTACAATACTGAACTGAAGCAGTTTTACATTTTACAATACTGAACTGAAGCAGTTGGCCACGTGTGTCACAAAATGTGAATTAAAAATAATTGGAACGACAGAGAAAAAAAGAGAACAGGAAAAAAACGACACCGTTGTGTAGTTTAAGCTACGGCTGTAGTCACTTTTACTTCAGAATACGATATCACGGAATAGAGTTTAACAGAGTCCCAATTGTTTCTTCTCCAATAGGATTGCTCCAAAAATGAATGATAAAACAAGCAATTTACGTATAATTTTTGCAGTTATTCTCATCACAGAATAAATATGAGCATCTTCTCCGTAAGAAATCAACCATGGCTTTTCATAAAGCAGCTAATAATAAGCTGCTCATTCCTTTATTATGATACATTATTCTATGTGGGTATATTGTATTTTGTCACAAAACATGTAGTAAAGAAAATCCAACAATCTGGAGTGATAGTACAACAGCAAGCTTCATTTGATACAGAGTTCCGATTTGGTGCAGCTGACCACTTCAAGTGTATGTTTGGTCATCAATTATAAACAAATGTGCATCCCAAATTTCCCTGCATTATTTTCCTGGAGTTCAAGCAGGGAGATACTCCTTTATTATCTCCTGGATACGTTTTTTCATTTGCTTATCTTTGACACCTGCAAGCATGTTTCGATAGAACATTTCTAATCTAATAAGCTTACTATGATCTGCTGATTCTAACATGTCGTCCCATTGTTTGGCAATGTCAAAAGCACCTGAATCCTGTAACGAGACAGGAATACCTTCCTCTGTGAAAGGTTTACCAAAAATTGAACTGTGAAGTATGCCAGCATATTGCTCCATTAAAGAAAGTTTTGATTTGAGGAGCTTCATCTCCTCCATTGCCAAAGACAACTTTTTTTCCACTTCTGAAACTTCTTCAGATCCCTTATTTTCAAGATTCTCCTCTTTATTAACATTGTTCGCTTCTTGGTCCAGGTCCTTGAAATCCTCTGTTAGTGGAGGCCACAGCACAACACCTGGAGCAAAAAAATCTACTTCCCTCCCATTTCCAAGGACCCCACTTCTTCCCCTGCCCCAAGACCAAAGCTTATATCCATCATTTGCAACAAGAACAGTGTGGGCAGCCCCACAAGCAACTTGAATTGGATCGTGAAATTTAGGCCCTTGTTGACCTGTTATTTGCAGGGGATAAAGAGCATCCCCTGCATCTGTTCCAGTAAATCTAGCATCTGGGCAGAGGCCAAGGCCTTTCTCCATTCCCCACGACCACACAGCTCCAGCTGATGAAACGACACTGGTATGAAATAAACCACAGTCAATAGAGATCAGGTACATATTCTGTGGCAATTCTTTTACGGCTTCAGGTTTCAATGCACTCTGGGTGGTTCCATGCCCAAGCTGCCCGTTATCGCCCAGGCCAAATGTCCAGCACGTACTTTCTAATTTGTCATTTGGTCTCTTTTTACGAGTAAGCAAAGCAGTATGAAATGCACCACATGCTACCTCATAAACAAACCAAGGAGAGTCCTGATCAAATGTTTCAACAATTTCAGGACGTAGTCTGCTCTCTGTATCTCCCAAACCCAGCTGGCCATGGCTATTGTTTCCCCAGGAGTAACAAACTAGATCATCTCCTTTATATGTTTCCCCAGCACTCACCAAGGCTACAACATGTTCGCTTCCACATGCCACCTTTACAACAGTGTGACCATAGAAATCCCAGACAGGAATTGGAGTGAAACTGCTCATTAGAGAGAAACCACCCTCACTGCCGCTGCTTTCCTGTGGGCAATTGCCCCACATCCATAGAGCCCCAAGATTATCAATTGCTAAGGACATCATTCCTCCAGCTTTAACAGAACAAATCTGCAGTACATAAAGAAAAAGAATTAGTAAATGAAGCTGTTAATGACTAAAGAGACAAAATATTGATAAAATCACTTCGCACCTTCAATGGTGCTTTTCCCTTTGTTTCTGACTCATTCGTTGGAGAATGTGAAGAGCTCAAGTCATGAAACTGCTCCATCATCTGTGGCACAACAGCATTCTCTCCATTCACACCAAGTTGGCCATCCATACAAAGGTTAAGGAGGCAGAGTCACAGAGAACCCAAGAACAATTCAGGCACAGAAATGACAAAATTCCGATATGGTTTGGAATGCACTTAAAACTAAAAAATAATCCCACAATTAAGGATACAGATGTTGTAACCCCAGCACCAAACTGATCCGTCACCTGGAATTACATAGAAATAAAAGAAATATCATATCAGCCAAACTAGCTCCAACCAACCCTAATCTTATGACCATTTGTTGTTCAAAGTGTAGCTCCAGATAATGTTCGTTAACATCTAAAAGTTATATAATCTTACATGGAAATAAACAAAAGTTAGTATAGCTATAAGGTAAGAAAATATTCAAATACGGAATCAAATCTATTACAGTGAAGCAGACAATAACCCTTCCCTTTGTCTTATCAGAATTCATCAAAATCCACAAACAACAGACTAACACCACGAGAGATACAGCAAGAATTATTAATTGTAGAAAATCCATAAATTCTCCTCAATTATTGACAAACTTTTATCTGATTCATCAACAAAATAACTCTTATCAATTGCCAAACTTAGAACTAATCCACGTTTAATTAGAACAAACGACCTCAACAGAAACTTTATAAGCATCCATTAGATTACAGTTTTGTTTCAAACCCAGTAAACAAAAAGGAGAAAATCAAAAGTCTGGGAATTAATTGGATAGAGGGTGATTAAACAAACCTGCAAGAGCCATGCTGTGATAAGCACCAGCAGCAATTCCTACAAACTTGAGCCTGTTCTCTTCAGATTCATTGCAAGTATCAAACTTGACTCGAACTGGGCAAAGCTCATCCCCTTCCGAACCGTTCCCAAGTCTCCCAAACATTCCTCTACCCCAAGAATACACGCACCCATCTCCTGCAATCCGAGACCAAGTATTGTCGTTTAACCAAATTTTATATAAATCTCTATAAATGCATACATTACCTGTAAGGGCGAGAGTGTGAGATTCCCCGGCGGCCACGGAGACGACTTTGCGAGACAGGTTGCTAGAAGTGCGAAGAGTTCCGCTATCCTCCATTTTATCCGGCAAGCCAAAGGAGGATTATGCAAAGTTATCAGCTTTGCACAATTCTCAATTATCAATGATTGCTGCAAGAGGGAAGTGTTTAGCATTTACCCGGGGGGTGGGACTTTGCCTAACGGGAGCTTCAGCATTTAAACGACACTGCTTTAGTGGCAAAATTGGAATTTGGAGTATTAATAGCAGGAGAGGATCGTAACTCTATAAATTTTAGTTAGATAATTTTGTTTATATTTTTCTACATAAACTATGTGGGTAAATGGAAAATAAATTATGAAATTTATAATTACAATCGCAAGGATAAGTTATGATAAATGATTGGTTCTTTAATTTATAATTATAAGTCATTTCTCATATGAACGCTTTCTTTTTTAAGAAAACATTAACGCTTTTGAACTAATTTTGGTTAATTGTATTTACAGTATTTAAATTTTTCATTTGATTAAATATATATTAATTATATTAAAATAAAACAAAAAATAGTTATTTTTATATATTTATAATCAACCAAATTCTCTGGTTAGTTTATAAAAACCTGAAAAATAATTAATTTTATAATAATACTGTTTTGAAAATGAATCTTATAAGTAAAAAGGAAAAAAAATATCAACCAGTCTAATTTAATAATCTAATTAATTTTTTCATTTATATTAAGAGTGACATATTTCAAATTTGAATTTTTTCTATCACAAATATTTTTTTCAATTTAATGAACTTATAAAAATATTACCCCGTACAATAATATTTCGTTTACTGAACCTCTTAATAAATAAAACAAAAAAAAATTAACCCATGTTTTGCCGTGCCCCTTCAGCCAGTTGACTTGTAAATTTATTTTATACTTACTTTCTGGTAAGATGATGAAACGATAAAGTTTGTCTGATTGCAGATGCATAGAATTTAAGTTACGTATTGGTTTTTGGTAAACCTTAAGCATAAACTATAGTTGATTACTTCTTAATTATTTGTTTTCAATTTGATAACAACAACCCCTCGTTCTAATCTGATCTCCTTATATCAATAAATCTTATCTTAGAATTCTTTTCTTTCCATAAATAACTTGTAGGAAAATATTTTATATAATATTTTATTATTTGGAGGCATTTAGAAAAAATAGATCAACGAAAATACTTAAAATTTTTTGCATTTAATAAAATCAAAGTTGATATTTAATAAAATTAAAAATGATGTATGTATGTTTAAAATTGAGTCAACTAATGACGTTACCTTTTATTTTTTCATTATAATTGAAATTTTTTTGCATTTAATAAAAAATTAAATTTTCTATTAAATAATGAAATTATAAATTAATAAATTTAATGGAGAGAATTTCATTTCAATTAATATATTTTACAGTTAATAAATATTAAATTTTTATTAAATAGTATCTTTCTATAAACAAAATTAACGGAGTTATAAGAGAGTCATATTTAATAAAAAGTAATTAAATAATAGTTACATTAACAAATAAAATTAAAATATTAATTTTAATTCACTAAAATTTTTATTAAACTTAAATAAATTATATATCAATTAATTTGAATTTATGGGAATTTCAAAGAGAAAAAATAAATAATTAACTAATTTATCGGTTGAATTACATTAATTTACTTAAAATAATTAATTATGCTAATGAATATTTTAGTTCATTACTTGATACTTTTAAAAAAGAGTGTATAATTTTATCTTTCATTGTTTAATAAAAAATTCATAAGCAAATTATTTAAATCAACACAAATATAAATTGCAATAATTTATTTGAAAATTACATTTAATTTAATTTAAAAAAATAAAAAAATTATACAATTCATGCATCGCGTTGGATGCATCACTAATTTTATTTCCTAATTCTAGAGCGGTTAACACCATTCCATTTTGTATTTCAAGTCCTACTCTAAATCTAGTTGAAAGCAAAATATCCATTTAAATATTACATTTTTTTTCATGGTATGAGTTTAGAAATTGAATTATGGTTAAAAATATGAGAAGAAAATCACTAATTTATACTAATTGAGCCAAAAGTTTTTTTTTTTTTTTTTTTTTTTTTTATTAAATAGTATTTTCTATACACAAAATTAACGGAGTTATAAGAGGTCATATTTAATTAAAAGTAAATTTAAATAATAGTTTACTTACAAATAAATTAAATATTATTTTTTCACATATTTTTATTAAACTAAAATAAATTATTATCAATTAATTGAAAATTTATGGGAATTTTTTCAAAGAAGAAAAAATAATATTAACTAATGTTATATTCGGTTTTTGAATGAACATTAATTACTTAATAATTATAATGCTATGAATATTTTAGTTTATGTACTTGAATAGCTTTTAAAAATAGAGTGGTATAATTTTATCTTTCATGTTTAATAAAAAATTCATAAAGCAAATTATTTAAATCAACACTAAATATAAATTGCAATAATTATTTGAAAAATTTACATTTAATTTAAATTTAAAAAAATAAAAAAATTATACAATTATGCATCGCGTGGATGCATCACTAATTTTTTTTCCTAATTCTAGACGCGGTTTAACACCATTTCCATTTGTATTTCAAGTCCTACTCTAAATCTAGTTGATAGCAACATATCCATTAAAATTACATTTTTTTTTACATGGTATGAGTTTAGAAATTGAAATTATGGTTAAAAATATGGAAGAATCACTTAATTTATACTAATTTTTTTTTTTTTTTTTTTTTTTTTGACAGGTAATTGAGCCAATAGTTGAAATCTGGCAATCTAGCAATATTTATAATTACAATGAATTTTCTTCACGTTAGTCTATACATCTGCTTATATATACAAATGAAATTATTAATCAACTTACATTTCCTGATAATATACAATTAAATTAAATTAACCAGCATGTAACCAATATATATATATATAAATCAACCAGCACAAAGACCCGCAGCACTCTCGGCGGCCATATCATCCTCACCACCGTAAGCAGCCAAATTCAGATACCCATCCTGATCATTATTCCGACCTCTCCACCTTGCCCTACAAATTACACAAATAGTCCCTCTCCTTCCTCTACTTCTCCTCCATTTCATCAAACACCTTTCGTGCACAATATTCTTACATGTCCCGCACGCCACCACTCTATCTCCCTTCTCCATTTCATCAAGACAAATCGGGCACGCTGTTCCTTCCTCAATCTCCAATTTCTCGTCGCCTCTAGACGCACCGTTTTGCCTTCTTGCCTCGAAGAATAGTTGGTGGAACCACTGCCGAACGGTTAAACTCGCTAGCGAGTCTGGTGATGTCGGTGTGCTTAGTAAACGATTGAGTCTGCATGGCCGGAGAGTTCTCCTGCGAAGACATGTGTCGTCGACCGAGACGCCTAATACGCGAATAAGAACGAAGAATATGTGCTTGCATGGAGTTGTACGGTCAGGACAAGTGCATGAAGGTGTATTGGCTAAGGTGACGGTGTAGACGTTTCCGGTAGCGCCTAAGATAAAGAAGTTGGATTCGGATCGATGGAGCAGCCGTAGGTGGTGGCGGAGGGCTCGGAATATTCGACCTGCTAGTGGTTGGGTTGGCCTGATATGGAAGTGGAGACGGTGGTCGGAAGTAGAGGAACTGGAGCCTACGGATTCCATTAGAGGAAATGAAAAGTTAGATAAATGCGGGAATTTGTAAGGTCGACAATGGTTATATAAACGACACATACAAAACGTGTTCGTTTTGGGATATTCCTTGTACAGTTTGGTGGGGCAAGAGAAGGATTGCTGTTGCGGGTGGATAAAAAACTAGCGTAAGGTAGGGTTCACGGGAAGCTGTTTAATTCTCGTTCCTCCAATTTTTTATTCCTTCAAGGGGAAAACAAAATGAAATTCTGAGACACTCGCTGTGTCTAATAATTTTTTGTCTTGATATGGCTTATTTATACATTAACAAATTTTAGTTAATATAGTTAATCTATAATTTTTATTTTATCTTTTTCTAATACCCTTTATATTAATTTAAATCAAATGATCCGTATTAAATTATTTTTAAAAATTTAAAAGTTTGATAATTTTTTATTTATCTATAAATTTAATTAATGATAATATAGTAATTTCACTAATAAATTTATTGATAACTTTCTAATATTATTTGGTTTTAAAAAAATATCGAAAAATAATTTGAGGTGGTAAAAAAAAAAAAGTCAGACAAAAATTATTGGAAGGAGGGAGTAATTAATTTTGAGTAAATAATTATTTAATCCCTTGGATTTTATAACATCTTAATATTTCTTGCATTGTAAATCAATTAATTAATTTTGAAATTAGCTCTCTATAATTATTTATTAAAAAAATTAGTATTGTTTTAACTATTATGTGAAGAATTAATAATTACAAAAACAACTAATTTTACTAAATAATGAAATGATTCATCTTGATATACCATTTGAATAAAAATTCTAATATCTTAAAAAAAAAAGACATATATTCTGTATATTTAATTAATAAGTCAAGATACTTTCAAAATAAATGGCTCTTTTATTTATTTATTTATTTTGCTCATTTTTTATTTTCATGGTGAGGCAATATTGTGCAAAAGGTTTTTTTTTTTTTTTTTTTTTTTTTTTTTTTTTTTTTTTTTTTTTTTTTTTTATAATTGGGCCTATTATTGAATTATTTATTTATTTTGTTTTCATTTTATATTTTCAGAGTGAGGCAATATTGTGCAAAGGTCTTTTTTATTCTTTTTTTTTTTTTGGTGTTTTTTTTTTTTTTTTTTTTTTTTTAGTTCTTTTCGAAAAATCCAAAACTACAAAGTACCCATTTGAAGATATGATAAAAGTTGCAAAAAAACAACCAAAATAAAAAACGACGGCCGGTCGAACTCTTAAACGGCTTGTTCGTTTTCAACAAAGTAATGGATTTTTTTTTTTTTTTTTTTTTTTTTTTTTTTTTTTTTTTTTTTTTAGTTTTTGAAAAATCAAAACTAAAAGGTACCCATTTGAGATATGACTAAAAGTTGCAAAAAAACACCAAATAAAAACGACGCCGGTCGAACTCTTAAAACGCTGTTCGTTTCAACAAGTAATGGGAAAGGGATTGGCATCCGCGTACGACTCCGTTTTTCATACCTCCGCTTCGCATCCACTATCCACTGTGGTTCTGCCCAGAAGTATACTTTCATCTTCTTCTCTTCCCAGTTATCTGTTTCTGCAATCATTCGCTGCCACAGTCTCTTAATACAGTATACATACTATGTGGGGTTCGTCTCGAAACTCATCTCAGCTTTCGAACCAGGTACTTAAGAACCAGCTTTATTTTTCCTTTTACGTTGACCTTCTAAAAACCTTCTTTTGTTTCCAAATTTACTTTGCTTTACTTTCAGAGACATGAGATTGTCTGCAGATAGCTGATACTATGGTATCTCAAATGGGTATCTTTTAGTTTTTTCAAAAAAAAATTTATTTATCTGAAATGGATAATTTTTTGGGTCGAGGATGTCATTTCTCGTTTAATGCTTTGTTAAATATGTTTTCTGTGTAATCAGAAGCAACAGAAGCAAGATAGAAAAGGAGGCTTAGAGAAGAGTTTCAATCCGGAAAACTTCATCCCAGGCTTTGTCATTGGGCTCATAATTGGGTTGTTGCTGGACTTAACAGACCTCACAAAAAACAATGTCAAAAAGAAGAATTTCTTGCCAGGAAAGTCCCAAGCACAAAATTTGCTCTACAGTAATGGTGACCAAGAGCTTAAAATGGTTTGTATTCAAGTGGTTAAAGCTTTATGGATTGATTTGATTGCCGTGTTTAAGTAATTATCACTTGGGATTTTGCTGCAAAATATATTACTTTGTTTTTTACTTCCCCCTGTTTCTTTGGATGTTGTGATTTGTTTTTTTCGTAGAAGATAATTAGGTGGCTGAAATGAGGGAATTTATTTGAATTTGTTAGTAGAGCTATTTTGCTGTCATTACTATGAATGGACTTTTATGATAATCACAGCAACTGTGGGTTTAAAGCTATTTAATTGTTAATGGTGCTGTTAACTCTTTGCTTGTCCTTTTTATACTGTAACTGAATCCTGCCAATGAATTTGATTGGTTTTAGGCCATGGCAAAATTCTGGAATATAAGTTAATCTTACAATAACAAAATTTTCATGTAGTTTGGGCCTGCCCTTTTGAGTTTATGCTGCATTTCTTTGAAATACAAAGTCGATTGAACCGATTTTGAAGGTGGTGGATGCTTGCTCTATAGTGATCATGGAATGATTTCTTTTGCGTAGAGCATGTAGTCCTATCTCACCTCCTCTCTGACTATTCTGATGTCCAGTTGCTGATTTAATTTTATTTACAATGTATTCAATTGACGTATGTAAGGTAAAGGTGGAGTTTTTCATGTAACATTGTAACTGTCTTCTCTAGTTTGAAATGTATTTGTATTTATCAGAATGTCAAAGATTTATTTGATCAGATGAAAAATTGCTCGTGGCAGGTTCTAGTGGTCAGACAGGACCTGAAGATGGGTGCAGGAAAGATTGCATCACAATGCGCTCGTAATATACTTCAACTTCTATAAATTTCACAATTGTTTTGCTTTATAATACTTAAGAATTTCCTTTGCCTTTCTTTGGAGCCCCCAATCTTCAATTACTTTGCCATTATCTGATTGAATCTGTAATTGCTTACTTGCAGATGCAGCCACTGGAATGTATTCAGAGCTGATGCAAAGGTAAATTAAGTGCTAATTATGAGTGTCTTTAGACTCTTTACAACTCTACTAACTCTTGGTAGTTTTCATTGGCTTATAAATAACATCTCTCTTGGATGTGTTTTGTATTTGTATTGTTCTAGAGGATATAAGCTCTTCTTGGCAAAAATAAGACAATACGTGTTTACTTGAATCAATTGTTTGAAGATTCAAGAACTATGAACCTGATCAGGAGTTGATTAAAAGCAGAAAAAAAAAAGAAAGAAAAAGAAAATAATGCATAAGATCTTTGTCCTTTCTGTTCTTATGATCGTTGAGAATATCACTTTTAGTAGGAATATATATACTTAGCTGGTCACAGACTCAGAGTGATGCATCACAAAATAATTGTCCTCTGACTCTTCTTGGCTAGACTATATTCTGCGCTGTATGCTCATTAGTTGTTCATGTAGTTATCCCAAGTTGCATTTTGTTTGTATGCTGTGCAGCCATCGGTTACTTTTGAGCAGATGGGAAAATTGTGGACAGCCCAAAATAGTTGTCACATGCAAAAATCAACAAGAAATGTAAGCAGGTGATTTCATTTGAATGATACAGTTCTTAAAGAGTCAGTAACCTGCATATATATTTTATTTTTGGTTGGGGAAATCACTTTTTTTTTTTCCTGATTTATGGATTACAATTTCATTCCTCATCAGGAATAGGATAAAGGAAGCAGCTGACAGCATTGGCCTTCCAACTTTTGTTGTTGCTGATGCTGGGCGGACACAGGTATCCATTTGTAACACAACACCTTGAAGATACTTAAATGCAACTAACACTTGGCTCAAAGCAGTATATGAAATCCAGAATCTAGAGTAAACTCCATGTGGTACACATTAAGGATATTGGACCATTTCTTTTTTCAGCCACAAATCTGCAACAGAAATAAAGAATATGGACCTTGGAAAGATAAAATGAATGTTACTCTTGGAAGATTGTTATTCATTGTTCTTGTGGACCTACCTAGTTAGTTCCACAATGTGCAATTATGTCCTTTTGTACTATTTGCTGGCAGAATATGGGTGGATATGTTGTCTGTCATTTGAAAATTGTAGGATAGCCTTTTCTTTTCTTTCTTCTTTTTCCAGCTTGGTTAAGCGATTCTATAGAAAATGACATACATGTGCAGTTGATTGGTCTGAATTTGTGTTTATTATTTGAGCTCCACTCATCTGGTCATAATAATGCATTCACGCTCATTCACTTGATGGTTTTAGTCTAGGTCATCACATGAATGTTTGCGTTATACCTACAATATACTCACCTTAGGAAAAATTACATCAATTTTGCTGCTTGTTTACTCTCTTTAATAGTCTACAGATTGCAGATGGGTTTATTTAGTTCTAATTAAATGAATTAAACAAGGAAATTTTAAGTTTTTGTTCATGTTTATACAGGTTTTGGCTGGATCAAAGACTGTTCTTGCAATAGGACCTGGTATATTTTATTTCCAGTTGCTTCTGAACTTGTTTTAGCTGCTTTCTTTTATGTGAGTGTGATGCACTCAGTTTTGAGAGACATGGGCTTTCAGATAATATTTTTCATTAAGTCTTATGTAATACTGAATTCAGTTACACTGTAATAAGCCATAAGCAAGGAAATTTTGCATCTCGGAGTCCCATTTCCATTGATGTCCAGTGGAGAACAAAATGGAAGAGGATAATCCATAAATTCCTGTTTACTTGAGAGCTTTAAGTGAACTATCTTTTGCTGTTTCTGTGCAGGATCAAAAGAATTGGTGAATTCAGTTACAGGAAAGCTACGCCTGCTTTGATGCGGCAGGAGAAGATGATATCCTCAGTTATAACTCCTAGGTTTAATGGGTAGATTGTTTGCAGCTAGTTCTTTCATGTAGCCTGTGTTAAATGGTTGAGATGCATAAAACCACACCAGAAAGCTTGCTAAACAAAGAATTTCCACCATTTTCAGTCAGAGGAAGATTGTTTCTACTTGACTTTGTACTTTTAGCGGGTGGCTTATGGATCATGATCATCCCGCTGGTTGACAAGAGAAATTGAGTAAAGAAAAGTCTTATCTTGAGTTCTCCACTGCTTTGTTAATGGAACAGAATTAATTGCATTTTCTTCCCTAAATTCCTGCTATTACTGCAGAACTTGGATTTTTTAACACTTTGATAGATGTTTCCTCAAATTTGTTAATGAAACTGAACTTTTGGTTGCTAAAATCAACTGAATATCAGCTCATTGTTCGGCGAGTCTGCATGTGCAATTCCTTGAATTGTTATGCAAAGGTTTAGTCTTGGGTTTTTACTATAATGTTTTGAATTACTTTGAACTCTGTGAAAGATAATTTTTTTTATTTGGATCACAGAAATTCTAATTTTTACATTTTAAATTTAAACTTTAAATTATGTTTGAGATAATATAATATATTTACGTATAATTCTTAACACGATCAATCAAATTATATTTTATTATTTAAAAAAATAATAGGATTCTTTCAATCTTGACCTCCATTTTGTTCTCAATATGAGGCAAATGCAGATGCAATTGAATATTGTAATTTTTTTTTTTGTTTAGTCTTGGGTTTTTACTATAATGTTTTGAATTACTTTGAACTCTGTGAAAGATAATTTTTTTTATTTGGATCACAGAAATTCTAATTTTTACATTTTAAATTTAAACTTTAAATTATGTTTGAGATAATATAATATATTTACGTATAATTCTTAACACGATCAATCAAATTATATTTTATTATTTAAAAAAATAATAGGATTCTTTCAATCTTGACCTCCATTTTGTTCTCAATATGAGGCAAATGCAGATGCAATTGAATATTGTAATTTTTTTTTTTCTTATAGTATCAAGAAGTGTTAATCCCTTTTACCTTCCATAAGCGTGCTTTTTCAAGGAATGGTTTCTTAAAAACTGAATTTTTGGTTGTTATAATTTTTTGATCACGCGTTATCACCAATCTAGTAAATAATAAGGGAAGGAAAAAAAATTTTCTGTTAACAAATTTTCTAATTGGATTACACATATTCCGATATCGGACTGCGACAATTTTATCTGGATGTAATTTTCTTTCCTCCATATGCTAAGACGCTGGGTAGGCCAAACGGCATAGTTTCATCAACAGTAAATATACAGAAACAAGTGTAAAACCCAACAAAAACCCCTAAACCTTGATATACAGTACAATCACTAATATGAAGTCCCAATGATTTTGTTTCTCCAGAAACCCTAACTCCACTAACTGTTTCTTTTGCCGTTTAGGGAAAATGGCGTCTCGGTATAGATCTCTCTCAAAATCAAGCCTTTCTCTCTTCAAATCCGCTATGAGCAAGCCCACCGTGAAACCTAATCCGATACCTTCTCCTCTCTCTACTCGCTCATCTCTTACATCTTCAAGGCAAGCGTTTTTGAAGCCCTTTTCTAGTAACTTTGTTTAATTGTTTGTGAAAGATTGAAATTTGATTGTTGGTTTTTGAATTTCAGGCAATTTCCTCAATTGGGTGCTCTACAATCTCTACTTCCCTTGCACTCGGCTGTATCTTCAGCTCGGTTAACTTCGTGTCTTGGCATCGATTCAAGGAGCTCTCGGTCAATGTCTCAGGGTATGCTCTGCAGTGCAAACCCAGGAGTTTGATAATCTCCAAATCTTTTAATTTTAGTATGTGTAAGCAACTTTTTACTCCACAAGTATTTCATATTTATTGGTTTTGCTGTGAACGCCATTGCTCTCGATTTCTTTTCAATGGCCGTAAGATTCAGTAAAAGAAAAGAAGTTAATAGAAGCTAGTTGCCAAGTAAGCCAACATTTTGTCTTGCTGAGTAGTTGTTTACAGCACATCCGTGCATTGCATTGTCGCTGTGAGTTGTCTTTATGAATTGATGCTTTCAATTTTATAAGGTCACATAAACAACAGTTTAAATTTTATGAAGCCATTACAGACACTGTAAATTTTCCGAGACGAAAATTTTTTGTTGTCATTTTCAGGAGTTGTCATGCATTGCCAGCTCCATAGTAGTATATTATTTGGCTTACTTTCTTCCTTGCCTTTATGGTTCTTTTCTTTTTCTTCGATGATTGAAATCATATTATTTTCTATGAAGGCCTATATCTTGTAGGATGAAATTGTTGTTCTTCAAGTTTGGTAAATTGTAGCGTGTGGTGATATAAGCAACTTCCTCAAGAGTCTATTCTTTAATCCCATCCAAACTTAACGGTTTTTTTTTTTTTTTTTTTTTTTATCTTTTAATCCCATCCAAACTTAACGGTTTTTTTTTTTTTTTTTTTTTTTTTGATGGATAATATTGTCCCAGAAAGAATTTTGTACTTTTTCTGGTATGTGGGGCAGTTAGTCTTAGGAAGTAGTCACTGCAAAATATTTGCTTCAAAGGGAAAAATAAGTCTTCAAGGGAGTCCCTAGTCATTTTTCAAACTTTATAAACTCATAAAGAGGACCACACAATCACATACCCATTACTCTACTGATCACCGCAGTCACGACCGTGATTTACCATTTTTTATGCACTTTTCTCTCATTTTCAATTATAGCTGGAAAAATTCATGGGGGCCTATCAGTCCAAGTCTTTTTTCATAATATTAAGTATTGAAGGAAATCAAATATTTTCCAAATACTAAACTGATCTTCAATATTTTTACCAAACAATTATTTTTCTCAAAAACTCTTTCCTCAAAAAAATATTTTTCATAAATAAAGTTATTTTATACAATGCAAAAGAAGCCTAATTAGTGACTTTTTCAATTTCTTCTCCCAAAATTGAATACAAAAGTTCAAATTCTTTTCCTTTTCATTTTTAGTCGCTCATTTTATGACTATTTCACATGGAATATTTTTTTTGGGGGGGGGGGGTAATTTGGATATAAACTTTATGGCAATTTCCCTTATGGGGGGGGGTAATTGGATAAACATTGTGAAGCAATTTCCCTTATGCATTGTAATTTTAAAGTTAGGGAGTTGGAGTAGTCAAGTGTCAATCAAGATTTGCATGATTCTGTTGCTGAGCTCCTCTGTTCATTAGGAATGATGCATGCAAGATGTTTTGAAAGTAGTTAAAGCAGGTATTGACACTGGATTACTGATCGGATGGAGATTGGTGTTCTGGTAATTCAGCTAGCAGCATAATATGTTTAAGTTGGACTGATACATCGAAGGTTAAAGTTAAAGGCCCTATCTTTTTGGCTTAATTACCCTTGCGTTAAAATTTTTGGCTATTGCTTTAAGCATGTAGTGCACATGGTTTATCGACCCTAGTTTTTGTGCCAATAAATATGCTGGCAAGTTTACTACAATAAAGTTTACATAAAAGAGACTTAGATTTTGTGCTTGCTTCCCATGTTATAAGTTATTATTGCTTATTCACTTATAGTTGAACATAAAATAAATAAATAAATAAATAAATAAATAATAAAAACTTGCTTATGCAACAAGTCGCAGATCTAAATCCCAGTAGACCTATTCTCTTTTGTAGTCTTTCATACAATTTACAAGTGGAACGTTTTTGACCTGAATAATCTGCTCTCAGATCTATGTGACTTTTTGTATACACAACAATAGGTTCTATGGGTTGAGTATTAGTGAATGTACACGATAAAAATGTGAGTAGCAAGCATACAATAGCTTATTAGTTTATTTTTTTACCATGTAATGGAGCACAAATAATAAATGAGGAAACCTCCCTTTAGGTATAAGGTACGATATTTAATGTGAGTACGTTTGACCCATGTGACTGATTTCTTTAATAGGATTTGTTGCCTGTACGGATGAATTATTGATGTTATTCTGCCCGTTCATGGAGATTTTATCATTTTTGTGGCACATCTTACCAAATTTCTGATTTACAAAAATTAACATAAAAATTAGGAATGAGGATGTATGGAGGTTGGAGATTAGTGTGAATGTATAGGAGTTTGATTTTCAACATAGAAACTCTGGAATACTGATCAATCTCTATTTGTTTTGCCACAAAGAACTGAAAAATTTTGTTTTGGGGGCAAAAAAGAGGAAAAATATAGTTGGTTTCATGACTTCAGGTTAGGTGTACTGGTGTAGCACCCAAATTATGACCCATAAGCTCCTTAAAAGTTCATCTACTTTTGGTTGATCTGCTGTAACATTTATGTGAAAGAGAAAAGTAAGAATTCATTTTGCTTCTGATCGACTTGACCTCTCTTTGAGTGCGCTTTTGCTTATGAAATGGTAGTCGATACTTCTTCTTCCTTCCTCCCGCCTGGCCTGGTATGTCCTGGATGCGGGGAAAGACTCATTTTTTGAAACTTGCTTGCTCAATTTAATTAGTGCTAACACCGTAATTAATGCATTTGCTTTTGATGCAGAACTAGGTCTCAGTGTGCCGCGATAACAGATTCAAGATGGAAGATGGCTGACAAATCAGGGCCATTGCTTGTCTTCTGATACATTCTGTTTTTCTGTACAACAGTTCCATCTAGAGGTGCTAGTTGCAAGCATTTGAAGTTTCTGTTGGATTTCACATGCCTTCTGTTGGATTGAAGCATCAATCTAATATAATACAATACTCTCATATGAACAAATAAAAATTCTTGCCATTTACCCTTTGTGTTTTTGCTAGGTATTTTTGAATGTATATCAACTTCCAATTCCTTTGTCCAATAATTTTCCTCTTTTTACCATATTTCTGGAGAAAGAAGGCCATATGAACTATTACACATCACATACGTTAAAGTGTTGATTATAATTAGTACATGAGTTTTGATTAAGGAATTTGTCAAGGGCAAATGTACTAGAGCTATCTTTATGAAGAAACTAAGATCAATGTTAATAATACTAGGAATTGTTAAATTTACGTGAGAAAGTTGGGGGCTGTTGATGAGATATGTCCTTGTGTTCCCTATCTTTTTGAATATTAGTCTTGACCATAGCGTTTATGTCTCCCTCTTAACAATACACTCGCATGTGAATCTCTTCTTCTTCCTCCTCTTTTTTCTCCCTTGTAAGTTTCTTGCATCTGTACTTCCCTTCTCCATGTTCACTGTAAAGTACAACTTAATTTTTACTCCATTTCCTTGCATTATTATAAAGAAGATTATGAGGCACATTTCCTTTATGATCTTTTCTTTCAGAGGAAAAAAAAAAAAAAGAAGTAGCACAACCTCAAGGGGTGACAATGCTGTGGGGTTTAGAGGTTCTTGGGATAGGGATAAGGAAAAAATGAATTTAAAATGTGTGTGTGTATATATATATATATATATATATAGGAGGTTCATGATATATAGGATAATAAAGTTTTATTATTATTATTATTATTATCATCTGAATTATAATTGCTAGCCAGCATGATGGATGAGAATATAATGCCCCGCCTAGATAAATATCCACGCCATTGGACATGCCAACAATAAAATTAATTAGTTCTTTATAATTAAAATGGAAATTCGAATTATTAAAATAGGTTCTATTTAAAAAAAATTAGAGAAATATTCTGTGAAAATAATTTTTTCAATTTTTACTAAAATCATTTATTTATATTTTCTATATGACTTTTACATATTGGAGTTGAGCAAGTAAAAGTTGAATGGGTAAATTATATGATTAGGATTTAGAAAGCAGTAATAATAAGATGATTTAATTGCTAGAAATGGAGAGTCATTGGTTGACATGTTAGGGCTATTCGTTAAAAGTGTGTTGTAAAATGGCATTTGCCAATTCATTGTCAGAAGTTGCTGTGCCAACCAGACAACCCCAACCCTTTTCTTTTAACATGGAATGGAAATATCCTGCATGCATTTTTTTTTCAAATACCCCATTTTTTAATTAACCCTAATTCAACAGTAATCTTTAAGATATTTTGTTGCAAATTTTATTATAATAATTAATTTTATTTATTTTTTTAGAAAAAACTAATAATCGTTTGTCTTGTCATGCCCCATATGGAATAAGAATCCAATCCATGATCCCCCAAATGTTTGAACTAACAACTGAGTTTTAATTAATTGTTAATCAAAAAGATTATATAAAATAATATTAGATTTGTCTTTAATTTAAAGAGAAAACCTGCTAAATAATCATGCATTTGTCACCCATAAATCACTCTCTTCTGCCACTGTGCACGTGCTCTGTGCATGACAACATTTTTAAAAGCAAGTATGGAATATGTATTTACAAATAATTACAAGCTTATAAAGCTGATCTAAATGTGCTAGCTTTAATCAAACATTATTAACAAACTCTGTTAATCTTTAAAGATAAGTACTACTTCTCATGCACCTAATCAACATATTAATTTTTAATCCTAATAATTAGTGTAAATTAAGTAAAAATCGGTGTAATATATAATGAAATGTAATGTAATAAAAAAATATATATCTGATTACTATTTTATATAAGGTAATAAGTTAGAAATGATAAATAAAAAAAAAAATATTATACTGGTATTTGTATTGTGTGTGTTTGTGAGGGCATCATGAATCACTGACTACTGCATATGAGGCATGGTAGAGAAGCATGTGACCACCGCAAATTTTGCTTCTTTAAACATTATTATTAAACTATTTTAAACATTTACTTGAAATAATTAGTTTAAACAAATAATTTTATCATTTTATTTATTTATTTATCTTTTATATTATTATTATTATTATTATTATTATTTATTAACAAGGAATAGGTCGTCTATGGATTACTGTTGCCTTGGATCGTGCGCATTTTATTAACTATATAACCTTCATTAGCCCTAGTATATTATAATATATATAAAATAATAATTAAAAACCCCTTTCTTTCACACGGTAATATGGATATACAGATTTAGGCTCTCAAATCTTCAGTCACATGAAAAAATATATTCATTTCAAAATAATTATATATTTATTTTAGAAACGGAGAAAATAGCAATAAAAAAATATATTATATTATCCGTTGATATGTGTTTTAATTAATATTTTCACGGTATTGAAAAAAAATGAAAAAAATAAAGATTTTAAATGCGAGTATTCTCTATTATAAAAAATTATTATTATTTTGATAAATGTTTATAGTGGTGCATATTTATATAATAATATTTTATTATTCCTCGAAGTAGCACAAATTGGAGAAATACATGTCAAAGGAAAAGAAAACAATCCCAACTGGATTTCAAATTTCAAGTATCAAAAATCTGATTAACGAATCAGAATTTGCTTTTCTAACATTCTTTGGATGGATCAATTGGATAAATGATCTATTTCACCTGGTTTTCACTCAAATTCATGTGGATTCTAATCATCTACTAATGCTCCTCTTCACGTGCTTTTCTTCTTCTTTTTAAAGTTGAAGCCAAATTTTACTCTCTCCTCATTAGTAAACTTTCCATTTTTCACTTTATTGTTTAAGTCTAATTCGATAACGCATCACATCCTGAGGTGGTTTAGAAAAATAAAATTCATCTGAATATACAGTTTATTTTCGTTAATCCAACCGTTTTATTTTGAATTAATAGATGTAATATATGAAACTGCTCTTTATAACATTTGACTTGGAAAAAAAAAAAAAATGGAAATCAACATATGGATCTGCGATTGCATCAACTTGGCTAATTGATTAGGGATAAACTAGTTGTGACCTAGCAATCCATATATCTTATTCATCCCTTCCACATTGAATTAAAAAAAAAAAAAAAAAAAAAAAAAAAGGATAAACTAGTTGTGGACCTTAGCAATCCATATATCTTATTCATCCCTTCCACATTGAATTTTAAAAAAAAAAAAAAAAAAAAAAAAAAGAGGTATTTGAAGTATTATTATAAAAAAAAAAAAAAAAAAAAAAAAAAAGAGGGTATTCAAGTATTATTATATGATTTAGTTCCAGAGCTAGCAATAAGGTAGGAGTTGGAGACCTATCACTTAGAGGTGTTAAGATGTCATCAGCAGATTAAATTTTCAAATTATGACTTAGTTGTCACATGACATGCTTAAACAGTTTTCTTAAACTACACACCAATTTCAATTTATTTATTTATTTTATTGTATCCTCAATCTCTATCTCTTTTAAACCTTCTTTTCAAAGCTTTGCACTTACCCTCTATAACCAAGAGTTTTCTACATTATGTATAAAGCTGTATATATACTGCTCCAATACATTAATATTCACCAATATATAAAAAACAATTTTCATTATTGTCCTTAATTAAATAAATATTTTGTAATTGCAATTTGTTCCTAACAAGAGAGATTATGGGTTGGTTGAAATACTTTATACGTAATTTAAGAAATATATATACCAATGAGAAGACATGTGAAATCGAGTTAAGAATTAATTAATTTTAAAAAAAAAAACGAAAATTTTTTTCTACATATGTGAAGATCAAACTCCTTTTCCGGATTCTTAATTAAAGAAAGGAAAAAAGACTGGTCACGTCTGCTGGCACCACTCATGTTGTCTATTTCTTACTAATTCATGAATTTAAGAAAATAATCTCTATAAGGTATTATAATCACATTTTTAGAAACGAGATAGCTTAAGACTATGATTTTTACGTTATGGTATATGTAAATTGAAGTGTCAAGGAAAAGAAAAGGAAGGAAACCTGAATTTAGGAAAATTGAGTTTTCAAAGAGCTTGCCAACTTTGGCAGACAAAAAGCAACTCAGAGAAAATGAAAAATTAAACAAAGTCTAATAAAAATTGAAGAAATTAAAAGTTAGGCAAAATTAGAAGAATTAACGAAATTCACTAACGAATTTCGCAGCTAAATCCTTAAAATAGACCCCACCTGAACCTGCCTCTTATTCCCTACCTTACTAGATCAGCTGCCTGAAATCGGGACCCACGTGTTGGTGAATCAAGTAATCATCGCCGTTGGATACATCAAAAACCATGTTCTGATGGTGATGGAGAAATTGCTGTTGTTGTTGTTGCTGAGCCCTTAACAACTCTTTCTGCCGCCGAAGCTCAAGTACTTTCCGGTGAGAATTCGAATGTTTTGTCAGCACAAACGTTGGGCTCGCCGCCGGCCGGTATTCTGGTACAAGCCTACCTGACTTGTACCTCACACCACAAGCATTACACAGCGTTTTTGGGCCCATTGGCCCTGTCCGCCACTGCGGCGTTTTATCGGTAGCGCAATGCAAGCATTTCCGGCCATCTCCATTTCCATCTCCACCATCTCTTCGCTTCGGTCCGGTACCTTTTATCGTCTTTTTTCCTGAACTAGGATGCTGAGTCGTTGGGCCGACAATAATTTCCGGCTCCGGTGATGTCGTGGTGGGGGAAAGGACGAGGAGACGAGACGCCCAGTTGCATGGGGCAGCTCGAGACCGCTTGCTACGAGCCTTAGCTGGGACGGACATTTCAGGGTGGAAAATTGGGTTGTTGTTGTTATTGATGGCTACGACGTCGTTGTTATTATTGTTGTTAGTATTGTCGTTACCATTGCAGTCTGGTTGAAAATTTCGGGTCTCAGATGATTCATCGGGCCGGGCTTTAATGCCAGATATCAGCTGTAGCTTTTGCAAATCCTCGCTAGAAAACGATTCCTCCACGAAATTTGACAGCCATTCGAGCTCCGCTAAATCATCATACTAAAAGATAAAAAAAAAAAAATCAAATTATATAATTTTCTCTCATTTTCCTGCACTTTCTTGGCAAACAAACAAAACTCAATAAACGTGCATGTTAAGTGGAATTACCGGCACGCAAAGGTCGCTAGAGAATTGAACGTCGGCCAAATTACGAGAGCCAATATCGCCGCCATTAAAGCAAGGCTCACATCCCGAGAAAGAAGAGGAATTGCAGCTATCGACGACAGTAACGGAAGAGGAGTCCGTGGAATTACCTGTAACGTTATCAAAAGCGACGCCACCGTCGGTAATGACTGCATCTTCGTTAGAAAAGTCTAGAAGGTCCTCGACAATGAAATGGTCACCACCACCACCGCCAGTAGGCTTAGAATCTAAAGAATGGTGCTTTTCATTTGAAAATGGCGAGCAAAATCCATTTTGGTTATAGAATTCAGGTGCTTCCATCGTTATTATTATTATTATTATTATTTTAAATTGATGATTGTTTGGGTTTTCTGGTTAAGGCAAAAAATGAGGTTAAGAAATTAAGATGGAGAGTGTAGTGAGGAAAATGTGTGTGTGTAAAGAGAGAAGAAGAGTGAGAGAAGTTGTGGTTTTGATACGAGAGAGAGAAAGAGAAAGAGAGAGGGTTTATTTGCGTTTGAAGGGGACAGGCAGACAGCTAAAATGGAGGAATTTGACGAAGAAAAATAAAAGAGTAATGAAGAGAGGTACTAGGAGATAAAAAATATAAAATAAAATAAAATAAATCGTATATATATATTTCTGTAAATTTTTTTAAAAAAAGAAAGGTTTAATTGGGTTGAAAGGGAAATCTTGTAGGAAGTTACTTTGATGCCCTTCCACTTTTGGTGACTTTTACGTCAGTTTTACCAACCTTGTCCTTTTGGGTTGTCTTCTTTTATCCCAAAACAGTGAAAAATTGCTGAATAGTAAGTTTGTTAATGATTGGTTCTGGTGAACCAAATAATTGGTGTGTAAGACTAACTGTAAGTTCATGAGCTATGGAGTTAAAGGTTAAAAAAAAAGTGGGCCATTTCAATTTTTATCCTTCCCTCAGTCATCCACAACACCAAAATGACAGTATTAGTTTAATAAATCAATTTCCCTCCACTTATTTCATGCTTTTTCCCTTTTTTTTTTTTTTAATTTGCACACGTATATATAGGTTCAGGTTATTTTAATAATGACTTACTAATATGGTAAATATTTCACATTAATTTTTATTTCGTTATTTGAAATTATTAAAAATTATTCTCATCTTAAAAACTATTAATGTTCACATAATTAATTGGAAATACACTCAATTATTCATTTATTGTTTCATAATGCAATTTATCTATATCATTAGTTGAGTAATTAAGTATTTGTTTTGTAAAATTTTCCTCAAAATCTAAAAGAAAACACTAATGCTTCCATTTATCACTGACATCGAGTGCGAGCTATTCTTTAGAAGGGCCCACAAATAGAATAAGAATAAAATCAGTTGCACGTGCACATGATGATGGTGATGATCATACGGTTGAACAGCAATTATAATAGCACATATCGCATACAATCATTACCCCATTGCTTAGAATAACAGTTAGTCAGTTATTAACAAGACCAGGAAAGAAGAGAAAAAAGGCAAATTTGTCAAAGTAGCCAAGAAGATTAGTGGGTAAACAAGTAATTAACAAATTAAGTAGATTACAATTAGTGGTAATTAAGTGTTCAAATTCAACTCCTTAGGAACCGATCTAACAGGATTGTCGCTTAGGCTTGTGCATTAGCGTCCAAGTTCACAGCCCGACTCCTCTGCTTTTGTTTTCCTCGGGAGTCGCGCTTTTTTTTTCTTTTTTAATTTCACTGCTATTAAATATATTTTTTAATCAATTATTGTACTCTGTTAATTATACTATTTTTTTTTAAATATTGAAACAGCGATTGTTAGCACGACGGTTACAGCTCAATTTTGATGAAATTGACGGCCGTGATGTTCCCAACGTGTTACCCTCTTCGGAGAAGCCTGCCAATTCGGTTTTCTTTTTGCAGTTTGGTTTGCCACGTAAGATTATGAGCGAGTCTATTGTTAAAGGACTTGGTTTCCATTTCACCTCCATCTTATTACCATGTCTAGAACAAATAGGCAATTCTTTTTTGACTGTTTTTTTTTTTCCTTTTTTCTTCTTATTTTGTATTGTAATCTACTGATTATCCGGATATTATATAGGCTATATTTAATTTGAGGGATTTCATAAACAACAACAATTAGCAGATTTTTTGTTATCTATTATATGATAAATCCATCGAAATTTAAAATATTTACTATCTTAATTTAGTAGATTTAGTGTTCATATCAAATAAAAACGACTATATGTTTAAAGTCAGTCTATATTCAAATTGAGAGTGATATTTAAATAATGAATTTATAAAAATTTTCCACCTATATTATGGAAAAATATTTAACTGATTCTAAGTCTATTTTTTTCTTAATCATGTAGACCTTTGATGTTCATGTCAATTTTTGAAGAACGATTTATCTAATAAGGGAAATTTGAGATTATGCATATCTCTTGAGAAGCTAATTTTTGGGTAAGTGTCTAATTAATTATCTAATTATACAAATTTGCTATCTATAGAAACTTGTACTCTTCTATATCCTCTTAGGATTTCTCTATCATTTTAGGGAAATTGATTATTAGTGAAATTTTATAGTATGTTTAAGGATTTTCTCCAATCTTATTTTTTACAAAGGAGAGGGAAAGAAAAATAACTATTTAACCCATAATAGTAGATGAAATCCACTTTATTAATTAGCAATGGTGTAATGATCGTTAATTATTAGGTGCGTCGTAATTTAGTAATCAAATATCAAATATTTACTTAATAATAAAGCATATTAGAAAATTCAAACTTTTAACAATTAATATTCTTCTAATTGTTAAAGCATGTAGAATTACCTTAATAAGAATTAAATAAAATCTTAATATTTCTCCAATCTTCTAATCTATATTTCTCCATTACATTAAAAGTGATACAATCTCAATTTATAATAATTAAAATAATTATGTTATTACCTTAATATTATAAAAAGTAATATAATTAAATTAAAAAAACATTTAATTATAATTTATTTTATTTAATTATTATGCAAAAATTTCATGCCACAAATGAAAGCGACAAAGCAAGTAGTAGGATGAATAGTAAAATCAAATCTATATGGGAGTGATTAATGTCGGCCTTCTGACCACGTGGCAAACATCGAGGATTGAAGACTGGTAGTTAGTGACTTAGTGGGGTCAACGTTTTAGATTGTTAACAATCCCTATGTAAGCTTCTTCGATGAACGGATAAATTGGTACGATTGGTATTTATTGCTACGTAGATATTTTTGGTTTTTTAAAATTTATTTTTTACCTTTTGTATTTTTTACTTTTTTTGCTTAAATTAAAAGGAAAGCCTGAAAAAGAGAGGGAACCTGGGCCGTTGCTTGGCGTGGAGGGTTTCGTTCTACCAGAGATTTTTCTTTTTTTTCTATTTTCAGTTTTTCATTTTCTTCCTTTATTTTAATTGAAGTGTTTTTTTTTTTGGAGGCATACGCACGTGACGCGGTTAGCGGGAAGTGTCAGTGAACCATGTGAGTGCTTGGCTCGTGTAGAAGCCCAAACTGGCGGTGGTCAATGACACGTGGCAGTGATCCGTTTGCTTTTTACGTTTCGACGATGCTTCCTGTATTAGTGATGCATTGCTACATACACGCGTCTTTTTATAATTTAGGGATAGTCATAGCGTGAGAGCACGTGCCAATAGCTCAAGTGAGAACTGGGCATCGCACGTATGTTACCTCCCTCTTGTGTCAAGTCACGTGGGATGGACGTTCTGTATTTGCTTTCGAAGTGGCGATTTGTCGTTGAGCTGTTTATGAATCATACATGCATGCATTAAAAAATATACATATATATAAGTTTTTCTAATAAAAAAAAAATTGAATGGCCAAATTATGAAAATAATTTTTCTTCTTCTTAGTTCTTAGTTATGTATTTTTTTTCCTTTTCATTTTCTGTAGAATGTTATCTTTACGTAGTCGATGTATTTCTTCAGAGTTGGTCTATTTCATATACCTTTTACCCTTGGAAGGAATATAAAAATAAATAAATAAATTAATGTGACAAGGCAGGTCCTTCGGGTTCGAGGTCAAACGTTGTGGAGAGGCCTGGTTTTAGCACGACAAGCTTCAATCTCAAGCCCATTTTGCTTTGTTATTTATGCTCATCTCTTATGGAGGAAGGAAAAGAAAAGGCATACCAATCCTGCAATCCACCACTCCAGCAGAAGCACAAAGCACAAGCACCAGCACCCATTAGTCTTTGACTCTAAGCAAGTATTTCCCTAACTTTACATTAATCCTAATTAACATTACCAAAAAGCAGCTTTCCTCTTGTTGAGTGGTTATTTGACATCTTTTTCCCCTTTTCCCATTTCAAGTAACTCCTCTATAATTTATACCTGTAATACGGAAATTTTTTACTACATCTACATGGATGATCTGATACATCAAGCTAATAATTTTTTTTTTAAATGTTGATATTTTATCTTTTTTATTTCTCAGTGCATAGTTAGAAATATATTCATTTAAATTAAAAAAATTATTTATAATTGATTTAGTATATAAATAGTCTATAAACAGAGTGTAGGTAAACACTTGTATTACGATAGGTCAGCTCAGCTAACCAGTTGAGTGGGCTGAATGTATTCAAGAAAATATTGGGCTTGTAAAGCCACACCGATAGGCTTGAGCTTTAGTAAGGTTTATTTGTTTGTTTCATGTTTGGTAAGTCTGTCCTTGTATTTAGGCCACTTGAATCAACCTTAATAGTGATTAATTAACAATAATAATAACAATATTTAAATTTATTTTCAGAAAACAAAACAGTATTTGAATATTGTCAATTTGTTTAATATTTTGATTTGTTTATTAATGAAAAACTGTACTCAACAAATTATACCATATTTAAATATATACTCTATTGATCTTTCTTTTAATTCTCAAATTTGGTAGATAAAATAGTTTATATTAATATTTTAGTAAAACTATTCACTGAATAGACTCAATTAAAAAAAAACAAATAGACATTTCAGAACACTTTTTTGGTTACATAAAATGCATAAAAGATAAGTAATAAAATAAAATATCATTTTTTCTCAAAAAAAAAAAGTATTAAAAATAAAAAATTTAACTAAATACTAATGTTACCAACTTTTTTCAATTGTCACTAGTAAAAGGAATTGAACCGTCAGCATTTCCGGTTCAAGTTGGCTTTTAGATAGATAGAAAGATAACGCAACCGAAAAAGGCAAAACCGGGAAGGACGGAGAACAACCAAAGGTCCAAAGTGACACTTGACTGTTGCTAATGGTAAGTTGAGAATCGAGATACAAATCATTAGCAGAAAATTAAACTAATTTAAATACATTATCACAACGGTCAACTGTAGTGAAATGGAGAAGCTGTAGATCCGCATAGATATTCAGATTCCGCCGGTAGTGAAATGGAGAAGAAGCTGAATAATCCACTCGAATGGCTAAATCTGATGGTGTCAGAGCCTTACTATCTCTTCCATTTCCTCGCTTTCTTCTCTTATTGTGTCGTTCGCAGCTCCGCCTCTCTCATCCTCTCTCCTCAAATCATTCACCATCTCTTTTATCGGGTATGTACATCTCTCTACTTTCTGCAATTTTTTTATTTGTTAAATTCGTGTTCTGGAACTAATTTTTCCCCCTCTTTGTTTATGCAGGAGATTCAAGCGATTTTAGCTCTCGCTATTCTAGCTTCTGTTAAGGTATAGCTTTTGTTGTATTAAAGATTTTGTGCATGTGTTAGTATTGGTTACATTTTTAGTTGCATTGTTAGGATTTTTCATTTTTCAAATTATCAAGGGCTAAAGGTTGGTAGTAACTTTGAGAGATTGGATTTCTCATTTCTAACATGTTCTTTTCGTAGAAATTTGAAGAAACTAGATATATGTAGGCGTATATGTGAACATGGAAATGTATTGTGCTGCGCTAATCTGCTTTGTTTAAACATGTGGATTCTTGAAATGGCAAGTTTAGAATTTTTTAAGCATAAAGTGTTATCTTTAGGATATGAATTTTCTGATTATGATGCTATTGACCCCTCTCAAATTAATTTAGTATCGCTTGCAAATTTGGGTTAGTGTAATGTTGTTAATTTTAGGTGTGGATTGATGTTTAACAGGTCGTGAAAGAAGAAACATGGGAGGCCTTTATTGCTGATATGCTGTTTTTTGCAAAGGTGGTCACCTCAATGTCCTATTCTACTTTTGCAGAATATTTTATTTTTAATTTTTGTTGGCAATATCGAGTTGATTGCTAGAATTATAGAAAATGAAGATTATACTTTTACATTGGGCATGCACATGTTAATCCACTTGTCATTGATAAATTATCCACTGTGGAATTGATATGTCAGCCAGTTATCTGGACATGACTGATGTAGAGAGTATGCCATCGCTTTGAGTTGCAGTTATTGTTTGAATTGTCTTCAAGGGCTCTATGTATAAACCATTAGAAAAATATTGCTCTTGTCTTTCTCACTGTCAATTGCGAAAATATGGAGGGCAGAACCTTACTCAGTCATCATACAAATTTGTTTAACCATCATTCAAGTGTTAATTCTTCAAATGAAGTTCCGTTATTTAGCATGCAATACCAAGCTTTATGCCTTACATGTCCTTTCCATGCTATTTTCTTACACTATTCTGACTTGATTTATATAACTATATTTCAGCTTCTTCTTCTTGTTGTATCTTTGATGTTGGATTACCAGTTGGCTCTCTGGTACATGGTGTTATTTTCAGGTAGTTATATTCTGTTTATACTTTTCTTATTGTATTTATTAAGTAAAATTCCGATGATATTATAAGACATTAGGTTTGTAATTTGAAAGTTAATGCTTTAGATGGAGCCAGCCTTAAAAACCAAGGGGGGCCATTTTTTTTTAAATACTTTTGTTGGTAAAATTTTAATGGAGGTAGGGAGGCCTCTCCTCCTATTCCTATTTTGTTCCTTCTTAGGTATTCTAGTCTCTCAAAGTACCATTGGTTAAGTATTGTTCACCTATAAATATTGTCTGCTTCTTCTCCTTCATGCCAAAGTAATTATTGGTCATCTTAACTTAAGCTTAAGCTGCTCCCGTATACATATAATTGAAATGCAATCACATTCTTTTATTTTCCATTTGCAGTTATATATATCTTATCACAACAGCCTGCCTTTCCAGGATTAGGTATGGAGTGAGTCTTGGTCAATCCTAACCGATAATAAGCATTTTATGAATTATGGCATTAACTTGCAATTTCAGGCTTTTTAATGCTTTTTACTTCTCTATCTAAATTGATTTTCCAGGTTCTTCAAGTAAATTAACACCACTTCAATTAGAAACCTTGCTGACAGAAGGGAGTGAATCAAGATTCTGGTTGGTTGGTTCTGAGGACTTGTTCAAGAATTTTTAATTTTTATAAATGACCAGTTTGTGACTTTTACCCACTGAAATAAAACAGTCTGCGCGAACAATCTGGGGAACTTTTGGTTTCATATTAGTGGTTAAGTTTCGCTCATATTTCTTAAATTCAATGTACTGGTCATTCAAAAACATTTCCCTTCAACACAATATCCATTTGTGAATCAGGGTCTACAAATGGGATGGCAAATAGCTCGCTTTTTTATAATTTTGGAAGAGATGATATAATTGGTGGATTGTTTTTTCACTACCAGCAAGTTGGATCACCTGTCCTTTGGGTTTTCCATTTGGCTCACTTACAAAGAACTTCTTCTCAGACAATGTTATAGAATGAAGATTTAGTGTGTTTTAGTGCCATTAAATAGTTTAACTTACCTGCTTAACATGCATAACTCTAATGTCTCCTACTACACTAGTTTGATGGATTCACTGTGTTCTTATTATTTTATAATTTAGCATAGTAACAAACTAATTCTGACAGGTAGAATTTCATGCTTTCTGTTCATCTGCTTGTATCGTTGCAAGTCGGTGCTTTCCCGAGCTCTCAATTACGTAAGTTCATAATTTTGTAATCATAATTTGTTGCATGGATGCTGCTGGTCTTCCTTCTGGCAATTGCATGACAGACATGAGGGAGAGGTTTTATTTATTACTATTATGCAAATTTATATTTCCTTGTGGCAGATACTCCAACAAGAAGTTATCATTTGGAACAGTTGATCTTGGACTCTTCCCAAATGCAGCAGAAAAATTTGGAATATCTCTTAGTGGTACATACTGTCTCATAAGCCTTTCTAGTTGATACTTTGCATTGTTTTCTTCAATTGCTCAACGGTAAAGTGGACTGTTAAGGGGACCTTGTACCTGTAGGGGGGATGAGCCAGCTTCCTACTTATATATTATTTGAGAATAATGCTGAGGTTACACGCTTTCCAGAGTGGGATTTTGCAACAAAATCTTCACATCCTTCTGTCAATAAGGTATGTTGAATATTTTTCATTATTACCTAGTAAATGCTAGTCCTTTTTCATAATTCCTGAAGTTGGAATCTATTTGAAAAAATGTAGTAGTAATGAATGTGAATGAAACAGGGAATTGATTGCACTAATCTATATTTAATCCAATACCATGCTATGCCTTGCATATTGCATGTAAAAGCAAATTTAACTTTCATGATAACACTTCCAACTTTTATCTAAATAGCCAAAATCTCTATTGCTGCATAAATTTCATTTTTGATGATTAGGCAAAGGAACCAAAGGCTATACTTCAGAGTCAGTTCTGGTCCTATAATTTTAAATTAATGCAATTTTTATTCTTATTTTATATGTTACTCATGTGCCAGATATGTTGTCCGGGGTGATTCGTTGCATTTTATTTATGGATTTTTTTTTTTTTTTTTTTTTTTTTTTTTTTTTTTTTTTTTTTTTTGCAGGAAATTATTGCTCATAACACTTCTCTCTCTCATAGGCGTCTTCTTGATATATCACAGTTTTAAATAGATACTGCAAGTAGATTTTTGCTGGCTTGATTGGAAATTTTACTGGGCTTGAGATTCCCAGGTCCGTGTGCCAGAAACATGACACATGGTGTGTTGGTAAGTGCATTTTGAACTTTGTTTTTGCTCTTCTCTTTTGTTGTCCGTTGAGACATTTTGAATACTTTTGTTTCACAATTTTTTTTTTTTTTTTTTTTTTTTTTTTTTGCAGAGAATTATTTGCAAACATTTTGAACTCGATAGGCGTCTTCTTGAATATATCAACAGTAAATAGATACTGCAAGTAGATTTTTGCTGGCTGATTGGAAATTTACTGGCTTGAGATTCCTCGGTCTCTCCAGAACACAACAATGTTAGTGGTAATCATTTTGAACTTTTTTTTGCTTTAAATTTTTGTTATCCTTTGAAAATGAAAACTTGTTTACAATTTATATACTGCCCAATATAGACATTTTTTTTTACCCCTCCAATATACAATTTGTAAACTTGCTTTAAATTTGATAGCAGTTGTAATGCTAGTTTATATGTTGGCTTATTTTTGTGAGAATGAACGATTATCACCTGAGGACCAGACAGTAATTCTTGGCAAACTTCAAATTCAGAAACCTTAGTGGATATTAAGTTGATAAAATTAAATTCCTTAAAAAAAAAGTTGATAAAAATACGCAAAAATAATGTAAAATATATTAAGAATTTCGACCAACTTGAGCTTCATTCAACTTCAATCGAGTGGACTGATACACTAACTTCAATAGCTCCTATATGTTGGATATCTCACGTGGAAATTAAGATGGAGAACTAGCAGCTCTCGTTGTATCTGATTCCTTGGATTTTTGCTGACTAAACTAACCATGCAGCAAAAACTGAATTTGGGCTGGTGGCCCGTGGGCCTATTTACACCTTCGGGCTTAAACTGAAATGGTTGCCGGAGGAAAGGCATTATCGTTAAAAGTAATTAAATATTATTGTCACGCTATGTATGGGCCCGAATACAAAATATAATTTGTTGTGAAAACCAAGATTTGCGTCACATAAAGTGACGCCGCCGAATATTCTCCTCCGAATTAAAATAAAAAATAGAAAAAAAAAAAGTAAAAAACGAAGGGATGGGGAGGGGAGGTGGTGTGAGTGTGACAGTGGCAAATCATTAGCAATAGGTAGGCAGAGGGCAGAGGTGGGGGGCCAGTCCTCTATTTCTGCGCCGCATTGTGGGCCCCGAAATTGGGTTGTCGGCCCACGCTCAGGCCGTTCCACTGACACTTTTCCTCACTCCCATTAACTTGTGCTTGGCGTGCCTTTTTGTTTTGGACCATGTTTGCTTTCTTCTGGTTATTTTAACAGTTTCCTTTCTTTTCTTTTTTTCCTAAATTAAAATTTTATTTTCTGTGTAACTGTTCAAGCTCTACAGTCTATTTGTTCATTACCAATTTAACATACTTCAAGCTCTTCACTGTAATTAGTAACAGTGTCTCGTGAACCAAGTCTGTTCTCATTGCTTTTGTTACTATTTAGTACTATTACTTGTGGAAAAATGTGAGTCAGAAAATACTTTTAACTATAATGTATAAAAATACAAAATTTTATTGTTTATATCAATTTGAAGTGATTAATGAAATCATAATATTTTATATTAAAAAAACTCTAATATTCTTTTCTTCTTTTGTTAAAAATTTTGGATATTTTAAACAAATATTCCAGTTGGGCGCACAAATTTCAATCAAATAATTCGAAGGCAAAGAGACAGAGGGGACGTAACGACGTCGTGTCACAGTAAAGCAAAGCAATACGAGAAAGAGAAAAAACAGTTTTGGCTTGGTGGCGGGCGAAAAGTCCGTTCCGTTGACGAAACAAAAAGCCACGCTTCCCAATCGATCAATCTCATACTCAACTCAACAGAATGTTTTGTTGTAAAAAAAAAATTTGTATCTGTCGACACGCCGAAAGATGGGACACGCGTTCTATTCCTAGTGGTCCCCATTCCCAAAATCCACGCTAGCTGGTGTTCTTGAGAAACACTCTAGTGGTCCCCCTAAAATATTCCCCGATTTTCAATTTTGTAATTCATGCTTACTTGCTGCGTCATCTACCACGTGTCCCTTAGGAATTCCCTGTATGAATTTAGAAAAAAAAAAAAAATAGTAATATTAGTACGAGTTTGTTTTTTGAAACTATAGTTAGACGGGAAAATACAATACATTTGACCCTCTAATAATAAGTGCATATTTTGTTCCATGCATTACATATTATTTCATTGTAAAAGCTTCTTGAGATGAAGATAAAATGGACAAATTTTATTCTAAGAATTAAAAAAAAAAAAAGTCAAAGTCAAATAATGTGTTGCTACATGTTTGGAGGTTGATAGTATGAATTTAATGTTCAACCCAGCTGCCGAGTGGGATAAATTTTTACGCGTAACCTTCCATCCAAAAATATGAATCGTTATAGATAATTTTTTAGAATATAAAAACTAATCAACATTATTTATTTTTTGTACATTAAAGTAAATCTAATAGTAATTGCATGTATAATCTGATAATAAATTTATAGATTCAAATCTCATTCCTAATAGTAAAAATAATACTTTTGTAAGTTTATTTTTTATTTATATTAAATACAATAATTATTTATACAATTCTCTAAAGAGTAATCTAGCCAAATTAAATAAACATTTTAAGAATTAATTTTTCTCTATAATTATTTAAGGCATAATCTAGTCAAATTAATAAATATTTTATTAATTTATGATTAATTAACATTTTTTAATCGTCATACAATAACTTTAGATGACTTATATTTGGTGGACTAAAAAATACTATAAATTAGAAGAGAAAAGTGGTTAAAATATATAAAAAATTATCATAATTTTTTAGATAAGATTCAAAACATGTAATAACTCAGATGATGTAAAGTTCTAAGTCATTTTTCCATTTAAATTAAAATTTATTTAAAAAACTCTGGAAGAACTCTTCTCTTCTCTTGAAAAAAAAAATTTATTGAACAGTCTAGTATTGCAATACTAAGAGCAATGGATTAGAGTTAGATGCTTTGGATTCAAGTTATCTGACACCATTTTCCGCAAGCAAAGGAATGGCAATACATAAGGGAAATAATTTACATGCATTAATATAAACTAGCGCGTGAGCAAGCACAATCGGCAACATCTTTTATATATATATATATATATGGAAAGAAGGAAAAATAATAAACAAAAAAAAATAAGAAAAAGAAAAAAAGGGATGGACCCCAGGGGGGTGAGCGATGAGCACGTTGCAAAAGTAAAGGAGGAGAGAGCGAGACTCTTCACGCGTGCGGGGGCCACGAATTTTCGGGACCCACAGACTGTGGACCCCACTAGATATGGTCTGCTAGCCTAGCGTCAACCTCAAGCTACAGCCAAGATGGCACACCTGTCATCCTTCCTTGCTTCCTTCCACAGGGGATTTTCTTAGTAATAAAAAAAATAAAAAAAGAATCAGAAAAATTTAAAATAAAATAAAAAAGAATTTACCAAGTCTCAACATTGCAAGTTTGCATATATCAAACTAATTTAATAATAAAAAATTTATTAAAATAAGAGTATGTGCGACAATTTACTAAGAAAAATAAATCAATATTAAATTGTGATAGTGTTTTTAAATACCAGTTAAATTACTAAAATTGTATAAATAAATTCTAGGGTTTGCTTCAAACGAATCAACATGTAACAAGTAACATATCTCCTACTCTTCCTGCGGCGGTGGGGTGGTGGCACAGTTTCATACAACTAGCGAAAGTGGCGGGCTATGCTAATACTTTTACCAGCCAAGTCCATTGTCATAGCCGTTGACATATATTCTAATTCCAAATTTTATAAAATAACAAAAGAGACATAAAAAAATGACACTTGTCTTTTGAGTTAGGCCATTGATGTTGCCTGTCCACCTCTTATCGTCCTTTTTCTAAATTTATCTTCTTATTAATTAATATAATAATCAAAGATTATGACGGTAAATAATGAACCTTTTTGATTAATCAAGCCATCGCAATTCGTATAATGGAGAAATTAAGACGCATATTGCAAGTCTTTTTCTTTGAAAATACCACAATCTTTGGATTTTGGAGAGCCACTAGAGTTGGTCTGCCATTTTTGCACCAGTCAGCTTTGCAATGGTGACAAATTTAAAGTTGCCGTTCTCTTTTCATTTTAACTTTTCTGTGTTTTTTCAAAGGGTAGCCCAATTTGAATTCTGGGATGGAATAGGATTGTTGTTGAAGAAATATGAAGTGGGTGACCTTGCATTGACTTTCCATTTTTTTTTTAGGTAAATTGCTTTGCTATTGACTCATTTCTCTCCTTCTTATTTATTGAAAGATTAGAAAAAGAAAAGGTGTATTCCTTTATTAGGATCCTTAAAATTTCTCATAATTGCAATTGTCTAGTGTCACTCCGAAAATCCAACGTTTGCTTGATGTATAAGTTTTAATTTATTATTTTTTCAAAGAAAATATATAATTCATTGATAAGCAACATAATATATGATGTGCATCATAAAAAATAACAACTGCAAACATAAACAATTTGAATCTTATGTTTGGATATAACATTGAAAAACGAGATTAGTTTTCTAAGTAATAATTCTTTTTTCAAATTGTTGACAAAATAAATTTTATGTGGAAACTTGTTACATTAAAGGTTTACATAAAAATTTAAATCACAGACGATAATAGATGAATAGACTGCACTACTATAAATATCATTTATCTATATTTAAAGATCTAAAATCTATGAGGAAGAGAATTCACGAAATCTACATTGTATTTATAAACTGGGGTAGTCTACAAGAAAAGAATCCAGATCTCTTGAACAATAGGTCAAAAGTTCAATCCTTGTAGACATAAAAAAAAACTCCTACTAAATTGTTCAAAGATTCACCAATATATATATAATCCCAATGATTGTTATTTCTTGATCATCGATGGATTTTCAGTCAAGAAATTGGTAATGTGTAAATATATATATATATGGGACACATGTATCTGAAATATAGCTTTCTTGTTTCTGTTAAATTGGAAGAAGAAGAAGATGTATGATGATGGGAGAGGAAAGGTGGTGGTGTGAGTATAATGGCAATAACAGTGGAGCCAGCATGCAGGGTGTCTCATAATTTTGTCCTCTCTCCATTTCTCCATACACCCTTCCTCTCCAATTCATCATTCAAATCTTTGAATTTCCAAATTATTATTATTGCTTCGCTGTGCATATACATAGCAATTACCATAGCATGGATACGTGAGAATTACAAAACTCGTTATTTTTTCTTTTCATTGTTAAAGCCTGTTTGAGTTTGAACTTTCTTTATATTTAAAAATATTCTTAAAAGGAAAAAAAAAAAAAAAAAGAATACTCACGCTTGTTTCATAGCTTCATAATCAGGATAAGTCAATTTTTTTCCAAAGAATTTAATAGTTTTAATATAATTTTATTATAATAAAAATGGTAAGGCTTATAATTGAAAATAAAATATTTCATTCGGCTACATTCTCACACGAGACTAATTCTATTTTGAGTTTATGGCTATTG